TAACTAGCCACAAGACTGTTCCTTGTTCTTATCCAAATTCCATCCCTCTGAGGGTCCTTTCTACCCCATGCTCTTTATCAGTCGGGAGGGGTTGGTCTTGGAGTCAGTATCCTGTTAAGCTCTCGGCCAAGGACAAGACTGGAATCTGGGCCACCAGTGAGACTGACACAAATGGGCACTGGTGCCTTTTCTCCAGCTCCCTGGCTGAATAGCAGAAGGTAGGTCTTAGCATCATTGAGGGAGTGGTCTCTAGTTGGGTCACAGTGTCACCTGGATGAGCAATGCCATCCAGGCTGAGCAGGGAGGGTGAGGCCATCAGGGAGGGTGGCTCAGTAGATGCTGGGATTGTGGCGGAGGCAGGCAGTAATGGTGGCCGGAGGCTATTGTCCCCATCCGCTGGTCACAGCTTTGAACTCCATCAGTTGCTTCTGGGCTGTCATGTGACGCAGCGATGGCCAACGCAACGCTAAAGTTAGTTAGGGCGGACTGGGTAGAGTGCTTGCCCGCAAGCCTGAGGACCCGGGTTCGATCCCAGATCTGGCAAAGACAGGAGGATTCCAGGGACCCTCCTGTTAGCCAGTCTAGTGCACTGGTGAGCTCTGGGTTTAGTGAGAGACGCTGTCTCAAGGGAACAAATCAGAGGACGTTAGAGTGGGGCACCTGACATCTTTCTCTGGCCTCCTCTGCATGCGTGCGCTGTGTACCCTCACACATATACACACGCATGCATATACCGCCCATGAGCACACACCAAAACAAACAAACAAACCCAAAAACCTATACAACTAGAGACGTGCCCTTTGCTTCTTCCTTTGCCCGTAGCTACAGGAATGAGGGTGTGATGGACGGTGCCCGAACAGCTCTTTTGATCCGTGAGAAGGCAGCAGAGTGGTTGTTGAGGATGTGGGATACCAGGAGGAAGGCAGTTTGGCTCCGGATTCTGACCTCTCACCAAGCCACATGCCAGCCTGGACTGCCACCTCAGGACCTCTTCTTACATCTGTGAGAGAAATAAGTCCTCTCTCCTCTGAAGCTGCCGTTTTCTTCCTTCCTGTTGGTGCACGCAGCTGAATTGGGCTGGTGCTGCTGGTGGAAAGGGGTCTGCAGCTTTCGGGGTCTGGTAGAACAGGTCAGCGATGATGAGATGGAGCGGCTGGTGCTGACGCAAGAAGACAGGAGCTTGTGGGGGGACGGAGGAGCTAGTACAGAGACCTGGAGACTGCAGCACCACCCCTGACGGCTCCCAGAAGCCTGAATGAGAATATTAGAGCCTGTCTTCATTAGGGTGTCCATTGCTATGATGAAATACCGCAACCAAAAGCAAGTTGGGGAGTAAAGGGTTTATTTGCCTTACATTTCCACATCATCAAAGGAAGTCAGGGCAGGAACTCAAACAGTGTAGGGAACCTGGAGGCAGGAGCTGATGCAGAGGCCATGGAGGGTGCTGCTTATTGCCTAGCTTTCCATGGCTTGCTCAGCCTGCTTTCTTATAGAACCCAGGACCGCCATCCCGGGGATGGCACCACCCACAATGAGCTGGGCCCCTTTTTATCAATCACCAACTAAGAAGATGTCCCACAGGCTTGCTCACAACCTGATCTCATGGAGGCATTTTTCAGCTGAGGTTCCCTCCTCTCAGATGAGTTTAGCTTGTGTCAGGACATAAAACTATCCACTACAGAGGCAAAAACAAACAAACAAAAAACCCCACCTAGATAGTCTGTGAACACTGGAGTCCCAGTGGTGACACAGCATGCCTGGACCCTGCACATGAAAGTCCCAAAGCCACAATATGAAGCGATGACTGATTGAGAATCAATAAGACTCTCTGAGCTAGGGGAAGCTGGGATGGGGGACGGGGTGTCTTCCTTGAGACCCGAAGGCCGGGTGACTCTTTTGGACTTCCGGGCTAAGCTTCCAAGCTCGGGCTGAGTGATGAGTATTCTGAAAACTCCTGGAAGAAGGTGGTGAAATGACCTGATTGGGGTTGAGGAAAGATCATCATGGCTGCCCATTCTGGCTGCTGAAAAGAAAACCAAGGCTGGACAGGAAGTTCCTGTGGCCCCAGGGATGGGAGGAGAGACTGCACATTCCCCTCCACCTAGATGGTGCGTAGGATCTTTGGACCGTGCCATGTCTGAGGTGAAGTTGAAGTTCATGCCTCATTTGCCTTACAGACCAGAATCCGGACCAAAGCTTGGGGAGAGAGGAAGTTGAGAAAAGGGTGGATAGAAAAACAGAAAGACAGGTGGATTAAACGTGGGGTGCCTAGGGCCTGGATGTAGATCAAACCATCTCCCAACCCACTGGTCATACTGGGTCCTAGGTCCCACCTCCCCACAAGAGAGGCTGGGAAATTGAATCTGTCACATGCTGGGGAGAAGGCCCCATGGAGCCTGAGGACTACCATCCCACCTTTCCTCTCATACCCTCTATGTGCCCCTCCTATGTTTCACAGGTCAGAGACTCTGAGTAGAGGATAAAGACAGTGGTTGCCTCAGCCCCTGGCCTGGCAGCTTAGTAGGTTTTTGCTGACTGATGAAGGGGTGAGGGGAAGATGGAAGACGAGGAAGATGCCTGGACTTCACCAGCCAGGCCAGGCAGTGTCATCCCCACAGACAAAGCTATGATGACGCTGGGTCATTCAAAACTGGATTGTCTGAAGTTTCTGACTTTGCCTGGGGATAATTATTTCTTTTGACTTTATATGTGCCTCAAAAAAAATTTTTTTTAACTGATCCTATTTATCTGGCAGGAGGAGTGAAGCCTAAGGTTTGCAAGCAAAATGAAGAGCCTGCCGTTATGGGTTCCTAAAAAGCTTCCAGAAATAGTCTGTCAATGTCCCTGTCACAGTGGTTATGTTTCTTACTGTTTTGTGTCTTAGAAGAACCTTCTGGAGTAGGAGGGATGTGGGCTGCGGGAGAGTCGTCAGCCATTTTCTGTGGCTGTAACTCAATATGTCAGAGAATTCACAGCTGTGAAGCTCGAGAGCTCGACAGTGGCAGTGGGCTAGGCCTTCCTGCCACATCATGGCAGCTCGCAGGCATGGCAAGGCCGGACAGAGCAGTGTGCTGGCTCTCGTCTCTCTTCCACATCAAGTCTGCTACTCATGCCATCGTGGGGTGCCACCTTCATGACCTCATCCCCCACCCTGATGGCCTTCGAGGTTTCCGCCTCCACAGACAAACAATACATGAGCTTGGGGGTTGAATTTCTAATACATGAGCTTGTGGGGCATATTTACACCCCATCCCAGGAGAAGCAGCTTTTACTCCAAAGCCTCCATGTCGGCCCTGGATACCTTCCTGTGTGCCATTCCTCACCAAATGCCCAGGTAGGAACTGATAAAAACCCTACTACGATCTGAACGTAAGGTGCCCTACAGACAGATCCTGGGCGGAAAGCCTGGTCCCCTCGCTTTGGGATCACGAGGACGTAACCTTTGGGTTATTCTATGGATGAGTTTGTGGCAGGATGGGCTGTTAGGAGATGGGGAGCGGTTGCAGGAGGCAGGTCCATGGGAACATGCCTTGGACAGAGGTGCCCTGTCCTCAGAGGCCCTTTCCCCCTCTCTCCCCACTTCCTGGTTGACAAGCTGGAGCAGATGTCCTCTGCCCTCCCATCATGGTGTTCCACTGTGGCGGGTCTAGAACCCCAGGAGCCAGCCCTCCAGGGACTGAACCCCTGAGCCACAAGACAGCTTTCCTCTTTAAGTTGACTTTGCTCACCAGTTTTGTCACCACTGTGAAACTCAAAATCTCGTCTTACAGATCTGGAAACTGAAGCTCAGAGAGTCCAGGTGGTGCCACCAGGGTGACTGTCCCCAGCAATGCCACCCCACACGCCTCCTTCCCTGCCTCGGCTCTCAATTCCCTTTTTAGGGTCTTCAATTTCACTTTCTGGCATCTGCGGAGGGAATCATCTGCCGGTCCTTCCTTCCAAATCCTCCTACCCACTTACCCCTGTCACATGAACTTTTCCTGGGGACATGCAAACAAATGTCTGTTCCCCCGTATCCCATACTGGGCCCCAATGACAGATGAAAGTTGCTGCTCCACTGAAGTCTACCTTGGTGAACTGGTGAGTTGATTGGGCGTAGTTTTGGAGTGAGGGGTTGGCTTACAGGGTGAACCCCAAACAGCTATCACTGGAGAGTCTCACCCCCATAGCTGTAGAGACGGGGTCCCTCCCTTCGTTAACCTACACTCTTATATCATGTAGCAGCCCTGAGTCCGGTTACATATAGCTGGGGGGCTGGATCTCAGGCGAGGGTCTGAGGTTACCCTCCTCTCTTTCTGTCCAGGATGAAGGGAGAAGGAAAATGGGAGTCCCCTGGGCAGTGAACCGCCCCCATCTCACCAAGAGAGGAAGAACTAGAACCTACGACTTTGAAGAGAAGAAGGTTCTAGAAGGTCCAACCAGTGGCCATGAAATTGCTTGTCAAGCCCCGAGAAGTAGTCATCCCTGAATGCTAGCCTGGGTAAAGGGCATCTCGGAAGGCTGAGGTGAAGGGAGGTGGCCAGTGTGGGAATCAGCTAAGGGTCATAGAGAGATGTGTGTGCGGGTGGCTTCGGTGTTAGGGTGTGTGTCAGAGTGTGTGTGTGTGTGTGTGTGTGTGTGTGAGAGAGAGAGAGAGAGAGAGAGGGAGAGAGAGAGAGACCAGAAGGCGATGAGGCTAGGGTAGCAATGTGTGAAATGCAGTGGGGGTGGTGTAGGCAGAGAAGGGCCTGCCCCCTCAGGCTCTGCACATAAGGTCCCTGTACCACAGTGACTGTGTGAGTGTACCGCCACAGGCGGTGGCTGCTCCTGGGCGTAGGAGGAGATCTTATCGGGGCTAGGTGTGTGTGGAGTTTCAGGCTGCCTCATCACCCCCTCATCTCTCCACCTCCCATTGGGCCTTGCCCCTCATCCTCTATGCAGGAAGTGGGCTCGCTCTGGGTTTCAGTCTGTTGCTGGCCTAGCTGCTGCCTGCTACCTAAGCTGCGGAGCAGGAGATGGCCGTGGACCCAGTCTCCAGTGGGACTGCAGGGACCGTATCACCACAACTCCATGACGCAGCCAGGTGATGCCCCTGAGTGGACTCCTGGGGGCCTAGGGCACCCCACCATCTCTTGCTGGTCATCCCAGGGGACAGAGGGCTGGGGAGGCACTCATCTCTGATTCAGTTTCCCCTGGAGTTTCTGTCTGGGCTTTGATGGCTCCACCTTTGTCTTGGGATTCCCTGGGGATGGGGTAGTCTGGCTGGTTTCTTGGTTTCTTCTTTAAGAATATGCCCTTTCCAATGTCAGGCCACACTGGCTCCTTCCCAGCCCATACTGTGAGGAGCTGTGAGCCATTTTGCTTTGAGGGCTTTCCCTGGGCCCTGTGCTGCGATGTCTTAGCCCAGAGGGGTAGAGGAAAAGGTGAGTAGCTAGAGCCAATGCTCAGGCTGTGCAGTGTGTGGTTCAGGTGGGACCTACCCCTGCTTCCGGTGGAGTGTGGCTCAGCCTGGGAAATACTCCTGAGGCGGCTAGTGAGGGAGAGAGAAGGAATCTCCCCTGGGACCTAGCTGTAAGCCAGATATGCTGACTGACAGGCATGTGAGGGTCCTAGGCTGGAGGCCAGAGGTAGGGTTCCAGCTTAGATTTATTTCTTACTTTACTGGGTGGCTAGAGAGGCCAGGAGCGTCTCCAGGCACTGGGCTGCCTGACGTAGGAGCTTCCTACCTTTAGCTGTGTTTGTAGCACTTCAGGGCCAAAGGTGGGGTGGCTAAGGAAGGCACAGCTATCTTTGAAGGTCCTTTTACTTCCACACACTCTTCCAGGAGATGGCCTCAGTTGAACAGCAAGAGGTGAGCGCTGTGTGTGTGTGTGTGTGTGTGTGTGTGTGTGTGTGTATGTGTGTATCTTTGTGAATGTGTGTCTCTTTGGAGAGGTGGTCAGAGAAGGGATCTCTGAGGTCAAAGGTCAACAGGTCTGAAGGACAAGTTCCTGGCTGTCATATGCCCTTAACCAACCCTGGACTCCACAGACCTGTAGGGCCCCAGACTGCCCAGGGCTGGAACTTGTTCTTTTTATCCTGGGAAACAGGCAGATTTGTGCCTTGAACTTCCCATGTGGAAAGAGCAGTCACAGAACCTACCTTGTGCTGTGAGATCACGCTGTGACATGTGTGGGTCCGGCTGAGGCAAGGGAGCACGGCTTGTCAGTCACCGCTGACCCTCCTCCATCACCATCATCATTGTACTGGAAATCAGGTGACCTAGTTAGAACGACCTGGGCCTGTGGGGTGACAGATCCTGTCAGAGGCCTCGGAGGAGACAAATGAGTCAGGGGTGGGAATGTCTGGTAGCCGTTGAAGGGCATGCGTGGGTGAGCCTCAGGGAGGCAGTGCCTGGGACTCTGAAGTCTTGGGCTTGCTCTGCCAGAGGCCGGCCTCCCGCTGTGTGGTTGTGAGTGGCTGTCTTAGCCTCCCAGAGACTCCATGTCCTTCTTGCTGAAGGATGGTGTTTCTGGTACCCAGCCCCCAGCCAGAGCCTTCCAGAACCTTCCATATTTTCTTGCATCTAACATTGTCCAGGATGGGTGAACGCTCCTGTGCCTCTTCAGCCAGGGGTGGGGAGCAGGCTTGAGTACCTTTCCCTAGGCCAGCTGTGCCTTTGGCTGGGGTTTGTGGTCCAGCCCTGAGCTGCCGATGATCACGCCCCTTTCATCCCTTTTCCTCTCCCTCAGGGTTAAACCGCAGGCCTCTCCCAGCTTGAGGCTGCTCAGAGGTCTGGGCCTAACCTGGCTGGCTGCCTCATCAAAGACCTAAAGTGCTTTAGATCGGCTGTGGAAGCCTCTTGCGTGGGCTCTGTAGGGATGCACTGGGCTCCCTCCTGACCCAAGCACCTCCCGGACAGGGAAGTTCTGAGTGGAACCGCTGTGTAGACTGGGCCCCGGGAGCCTTGGTCTGCTTGTTCGTGTAGTACAGACGCTGAGCGGCTGCTGAGCTGCTGGGCAGAAGAGAGTGGCTGGGAGCCTGAAGGAGCACACGGCCTGAGCAGTGCTCGCTGAGCATACCTGGCAAGCGCCGTCACCAGGCCACGCTGCCTACTCACAGGTCCCCAAACCCAGTCCGTCCGTGCATAACTTTTATCGAGCACCTCCTGTGTGACAAGCTCAGCAATTTGGAGTGGGCACTCTGCTCTGAGAGTCTGTCACCTGTCATGCCAAAGGGGTGGGCAGAAACCCAAGGCAAAATGTCCTTCCTTCATGGGGGAACCAGGGTGTCACAGAACTAGAAGATAGAGGACTATGAAAGGGGCCTTAAAGGACAGCAGGAGCCTTGGTGGTCAGCTCTAGGGAGGCTTTTAGAAGCCTAGACCAGAGCTACCAGCTTGTGTAGATTATAAGAGCCACCCAAGGCAGAGCTTGATGGCCCTGTGCCACCCCTAAGCCTACTTTTCAGCCTTCATCCCATTTTTCCAGTTCAGCCCGTGAAAGATGAGGGTCGACTCTCCAGGGTACCCCATAGCTGGCCAGCAGCTGTCTGCTATTCGATAGACATTATTTTGGGAATCAGACCCAAGAATGAATGAAATCCAAATGCTCCTTGTCCTTATGGACTGTCTATGACTAATGTGCACAGGTGTGTGTGTGTGTGTGTGTGTGTGTGTGTGTTGCATTTAAATTGAACACTGTTCCAAGTCGTGCGCTAAAGTCTTGAGCTGTCCTTCTCTAGCCTGCATCGTGCCTGAAGGATTCCTTCATCCAGAGCATCCATGATGAAGATGACACCCACCCGTTAGTCCCCTAGCAAGGTTGTCCAGTCGCCTGTGTAGCACTCACAGGGCTACGATGTGTCCCCATCACCTCACCTCACCTGCTTATGGGGTGGGCCCCGGCCGGAAGATACTTTATGTGGGAGACCGCTTTCACACCATGCATACAAGGAATCTCCTTGTATCATTACCACCATCATCAATTTCTCACGATGGGTTTGTAAGGACTGGTTTGGTCCGGTGCTTCAGGCATCCCTGGAGGTTTTAGAATGCATCCTCTGAGGGATGGATTTACTTACTACTGTGCACCAAACAAACAAACAAACAAGCAAACAAGGTTGACCAAAAATGCAGTGAAGTGTGTTAAAGAGATGGCAGCTGGTTAGGATCAGGAAGGAAGGGAGTGAGTGCCTGCGGGACAGAGGGCCTGGGCTGGGCTGCGCTTGCCTCTGGCTGGGTGGAGAGCCAGCAGGGTAAAGGTTCTGACCTGTTCTCACTTTGCTCTCTGGTCTCCTCCACTTAGGGCTTGTGTTCTCAGCTCTGCCTCTCAGATGTGATGGCTGCCATAGCTCTGTCCTGGCGTCTGTCTCTCTGCCTCCTCCTTCTGGCCCTGGCTACATCTTGGGGGTCTACAGCGGCAAAGGGTGAGAATCCAGGTTTTTGATGTCCATGCTCTCCCTGACTGGAGGCCTCAGCCCAGACTCCTGCTTCGGAGAGGAGGTCCATCTACAGCGGGAGGCAGGGAGGGATGAACGAAGCAATGGACTAGAGGGCAGCTGTCCACCTCCTCAAGGCCTGCACAGGCCTCTCCCAGGCACGGGCAGAGGCTGTTGATTTCCCTGCTTGGCCGTGGATGGGAGCTCTGTTTCCTCCCTTTGAAATAGGTCTGAATTGGGGATGGCAGAAGGCTCGGTGGGCAAAGTGCCTGTCATGTAAGCATGGGCACTCGAGTCCAGACTCCCAGCACTCATATAAAAGGGTTTAGAAATGGGCTGGCAAGGTGGCTCACTGGGCAAAAGGCTTACCCCACAAACCTGACAACCGAAGTCAGCCCCCCAGGGCCTATGGTGGAAAGAGAGAGTTGATTTCCAAAAGTGGTCCCCTGGCCTGTATGCACATACCATGGCATCTGTGCCGTGTCCATGTCACACACACACACACACACACACACACACACACACACACACACACACGAAATGAGCTTGAATCCTGCCAGTTTGATTTCCCTACCTCCTCCTCTGGTAGGCACAGGGTGCCAGGAGCAGGATAGTGAACTCGCCCAGAAGCCATGTGTGCCCCATAACCGGCCACTCACACCCACTTTGCCCACAGACCGTCCCCATCTTAAGTGCTTTTACAACTCAAGAGCCAACATCTCCTGCCTGTGGAGAGAGGAAGACACCCATCTCGGCCCCCAGGTCACATCCTGCAATGTTAGTGCCAGGTCGGACACCAGGTAAGCGTGGCCTGGTCACAGGGCAGAACCTCAGGGCCGTGGGCACTCTGAGCTGTGGAACCCTGAGCCTGAGCTCCACGGCACTTAGCACCAACATCGGCCACCCAGTCTTTTGGGTCCCCAAGAGCGGGTGGGATCCAGGCTCTAGCGGAGAGCTACCGAGGTCCTGGACCAGGTCGTCTGGAGACAGTGGCTGTGAGCCTTTGAGGCAAAGTTGGACTCCATGTCAGAGACAAACAGGATGCATACTTGGTGCTTCCTGAGGTTTTTGTTTGTTTGTTTGTTTTTTGAGTACTCTGGTATTTTGAGCCCTCAGGCAGCCATGGGGCCATATTGCCTGGGGTAATGCTGTCCTGTAGGGACAGGGACAGGGACAGGAAGTATCTGGGGAGCCAGCCATAGGTTTCTTCAGGCTGAATTTAGGTGTGCGGAGCTTGGGGGCTTTCAGGTGGGGGTGGGGCTGTAGTGACATGTGTTTCTTGGTTACTCTGGCTGCTGGGAGGCCAGGCTGGGATTGGGAGTAGTGAGGGCATGAGAGGGTGTTCTGGAGCACGGGGAGCAGCTGGCCTCTTGTCCACTGTGCTGCTGTCCCCAGCACAGGGAGCCCCGAGAAGGGTCTCTGGTTGGCTCTGTAGTCCTGCCTTGCTTTCTAAGGTGACTTTTCTGTTCTGCAAGGAACTGGAACCACATCTGCAAGTTTTATCTGGAGGGGCAGGCATCCTGGGCCTGCAACCTGGTGCTTGGGAAGCCAAATGTAAGTAGCATGGGCAGTGATGTGTGTGTGTGTATGTGTGTGTGTGTGTGTGTGTGTGTGTGTGTGTGTCCATGTCTTAGAGTCTTTCCAGCTGTGGGCTGAAGCCTCAGGGTGGGCCTGGTCCTCTGCAAGCATCAGCCTGGTGATGCAGAGCAGGCCACCTGAGCTGAAAGGGAAGGACCGGAGGTGGGGTGTTGGGCCTGCATCCTTGCTGCCTCTGCACAGATTGTCGCCCCTCCTCTCTGCTGTGGGTCTTGCCATCCTTTTACATCCCAGTAGCAGTGACAATCATACCAGACGCTGGCTGAGGCCTTAGGGCTAGGGCACAGAGTCATGCTAAGCTCTGGCCTTAGTGCTACCTCATCATAGCTTAGTGACTCTGTGTAGCTTCGGCACCTCAGTTTCCCCTTCCATCAAATAGAAAAGAAAATGAAAGCTCCCTCAAAGGGTTATTTTGGAATGGAGCAGATGCTGAGAGTATTAAACAGACCCCGGCAATTTTGTCTCCTTCTCAAGGAGGAATTTAAGGCCGAGAGAGATGTGGTTGGCATCTGTCGAAGGTCACCCAGCCCTAGGCAGCTGCGGCCTCCTGGTGGCTTTTCCGTATTGCCCAGATGCCTCTTGCAGGGCCCTAGGTCCAGACTATGTGGATGTAGCTTAAAATTTTCCTCAACCCCTCTGGGCAGGAGCAGAGCGAGGGCAGGGGTTTGCCCTGGGGAGTTCAGGCAGTGTTGTCCAGGCTTTGGCAGGCCCTATATGTTCTCAAAGAAAGGGAAGGGAAGGATGGCATACAGCCCAGCTGGCCAGCATCCACATATGGCAGCCTGGGAGCTTTGCAGGGAACTGGCTTCCATCCTGGTCCCATTATGCCATAGCTGTGCGACCTGAGGCGAGTCCCTAACCCTCTCTGTGTTTCAGCCTCCTGGGCTAACTGATGGGAATAGTGGTAGTATAGGTCGTCTGAGAGGGTTTTGAGAAACTGCAAAGAGGTAATTCATGCAAAGAAGAAGGGCAAAAGTTCCCAGCAGCCTGGTCCTGGCAAGGCTTTGAGGATAATCCCAGCAATAGTAACCAACCCGGGCTATTATTAAGGGGGTGAACCTGATCTGGTAGCAGGTGTGAGAGGTGAAGTCCTCTGACTTCACAGAGGACATAGTACCTGGTTGCTTGGTCAGGGAACTCTGATGGCCAGGTTCGAGGCTGGTAAAGGTCAGAGGGCCTAGGCCTCAAGGCTTGTACTGCAAACTCCTACCCAGTCTCAGAGCGTAGGTGTTACCATGGCCTGCCTCTGAGCCTCCTCCCGCAGCCTACTGTCCACACACAGGCCTGCCTACTTGGGGGACCATGCCACTCACCCTCTGTGCTCTGGTCATTCTGGGAAACGGTGTCTGCAATGGTCTCGTGTGAACCTACTTCCTGCTATCCAGCTGAGTGGTCACAGTGAGCAGCGTGGGGGGGGACTGCTGTGTTCATCAGCAAGGTGTGAGCAGTGGCTACCCAGGACACACTCAGTACCCAGCCATTTTCTTCCAGAAGAATCAGGGCACAAGGCTAGTTGACAGGTCCCGTTCTGCTTTCTGTGGCTGTCCTTCCTGGGATCTTTGCTACTTGCATACCTCCTGTGATGAGAAAGTTCCTGCCAACCCTGGTGGCCTACTTCAGTTTACATCAGGGATTATTGAGTGACTATGCTCCCTGTGCCAAACCCAGCCATTGCCCGTGTTTGTAAATAAAGTTTTATTGGAATGTGGCCCTTGAGTTGTGACAGAGACTGTGTGGCCTGTTTGGCTAAAAATGCTCACAGCCTGGCTGGTTAGAGACAACATTTGCTGTCCCCTGCCTTAGCTAGCCGGGTAGAGACAGGGCCTGTCCTTGCCTTGACAGGACAGGTTTTAATGGTCCCTTCTCCTCAGTGGCTTCTGGCCTCTATACCTCTGCCTTTCCTCCCTCGTAGTCCCAGAAACTGACTGCCGCAGATGTCCTCAACATGAGCATGGTTTGCTTGGAAGGGAAGGGCTGGAGCATGGTGGAGACCTACAATTTTCATCCCTTTGAGAACCGTGAGTACAGAGCCTAGGTTTGTGGGTGACCTCTCACCTGTCAGCCTTTCCCAAGCCTGTCCCAGTGCCTACGGGAAAAGCTCCCCCAGATCCCAACCTCCCCACTCCACTCCACCCCTGCCTGGAGCACCCTTGCCTGGAGATTCCCGCTTATCCTTCAACTCTCACCTAGTGGCGGGTCTGTCCCTCCGCTGGGCCTGCAGCTCCTCTGCAGCAACTCCTCTCTGCAGCAACTCCCTGAGCATTCAGCTCCAGGCCCAAGCAGGGGAATGCTTTCGGAGTGGCTGAATGTTTTCCAACCTTGGAGGCCATCTCTAGAGAAGAGAAGGGATATAAGTGAGATCCAGGCAGAATTCAAATTGCAGCCCTGCCTTGACTCATCTGGCTGGCAGCTCACAGCTGGGCCTTGGTTTTCTTCTCTGCGAAGTGAGCATAATTAAGGTCGCCATGTCAGGAAGGAAGGAGAGCTAGGATGCCTAAACTGCTCAGCATCGAGTCACAGGAGAAAACCAGTGTTTAGTTTGGGGAAAATGAAGTAACTCTCACACTTAAAATCCACGCAGGTAGGAGCTGGAGAGATAGCTCAGTGCTTAAGAGCTCTGGTGGCTCTTGCAGAGGTCCTGAGTTCAATTTGCAGCAAACACATCATGGCTCACAACCATCTATAATGAGATCCGATGCCCTCTTCTGGTGTGCAAGTATACATGCAGAATACTCACACATAAAATATAAATAAATAATCCACGCAGGCTGGGCATGTGGCTAGTGGTAGAACACTTGCCAAACTTGTACCAACACATTCCCACAAATATTAATATACAAACATATAATTTGTATATATAATTTGCATATAGTATAATTTCTCAATTATACTATTATGCATCATAGAGGTTTATAGTTTATATTTACATTTAATAAGTATGCTAATGGAATACACAGATATAAATTTATGTAAATGCTATGTAATTAGTTATATGTTTACAATTATTTAAATTTATGCCATATATAAATGTATTAATATATGTATTTTATAAACAAAAATACGTCAACAATAGATACATGGATAAAATAAAGTACATGAGCTGTTCCCTGTACAGCTCTCAGATCAGTCTTGAAGCAGGGAAAGGCTGCTTGGCAATCACTTAAAAGCTGATATGTCACTCCTGGAGAGTGCCTCAGGTACCAAAGGCTCGGCAGACACCACAGTCCCTGAGTCAGGCATCCCGGGAGGGACAGTGGGTGCAAAGGCAGAAGATCCCCAATAGAGTCACTCTTTCAGGCGTAAGCAGAATAACAAGAGCAGTGGCTGAAGTGGCAAAGCACCACTAGGGAGGGAAGGCTGCTCCATATGAGCACAGGACTGAGGAGAAGCAGGTGCAGAGGAAGAGGAGCAGGGGCCAAGAGGGAGGGAAGATGGTTCAAACTGTAGTGGAGTGAGTTCAGATGATGGGGAGAAGTGGGTAGGTGTGGAGGAGGAAACGAAACAGGTTCAGAGCAGGACATGGAGAAGGGAAAAGAAGTGGGGCACTGCAGAGGAGGAAGAAGGTGCAAAGTTGATGAGACAACAGTTGCAGAGGAGGAGCAGACGCAATGGAGGAGGGCCAGCAGGTGCAGAGGAGAAGGGGCGGGTGCGGAGGAAGAGGAGTAGCAGTCGAGGAGGAGAAAGCGCATCGAGTTCGGAGGAGGAGCTGGTGCTGGGAATGTTGTGCGAATGTTGTGCGGTGGAAACTGGGCTGAAAGTTCTTGGTATTGTACTGGTTGGTTCACGCTTTCTGTTCCCTTCTCTCCTCTGTCTGCAGTTCGCCTGTTGGCCCCTCATTCCCTCCGAGTCCTGCACACTGAAGCCCACAGATGCAACATAAGCTGGGAGGTCTCCGAGGTCTCTCACTACATTGAAAAATATTTGGAATTTGAGGCCCGTAAACGTTCTCTTGACCAGAGCTGGGAGGTGAGGGCGTGGCCAAGGCCCTGCTTCGGTGGCGGGCACCTCCCTGTTCTAGGGCACGCCTTTGTCCTTTTCTACAAGGCTGCTGTGCAGCTGATTCGTGCTCCTCCTCCTCTATTGCTTGGCGCTACCTGCTTTGCCCATGCTTTTATGGCTTGAGGACGCACCTGGGTTTGTGTCTATGTAGAACCCAGGGCAAGGTGGCCTGCGCAGCCCGGCTGCCACCTTTTTACATTACAAATGCAGCGAGTTTCCCCGGCTGCAGGGGAACAGGGGATGCTGGGAACTGCAGCTTATCATACACACACACACACACACACACACACACACACACACACACACGGTCCTTTACTTCTCTGTGGACTGTAAGAGGGAAGGTGGGCAGGGGGGGGGGGGAGAGGACCGTGGAATTTAGGGCCCCAGCAGCCAGGAAATCAGAGAGCTTTGGGAAAAGCTCCTTGCTCAACCTGGTTGTGGGAGGTGACGAGGACAGACGTTGCTCAACCGGATGCCCCCATCTCTGCGCAGGATGTACGCCTGCTAAGCCTCAAGCAGTGGCAGCAGTGGCTCTGCCTGGAGACGCTTTCTCCTAACACTTGGTATGAGCTTCAGGTGCGGGTCAAGGTCCAACCAGTTAAACCCAATACCCGGAGTACCTGGAGCCCCTGGAGCCAGCCCCTGGCCTTTCGGACAAAAGGTACAGTGGACAGCGCGGAGGGAGCTGGGAAGGGGCCAGGGTGCTCCGAGCGCTGCAAAGGTGGGGTCGGTTTCCCCTTCATCTTCCTGCACTTCCCAGAGACGAGGCTAACAAGGAAGGGGTCAGCCGTGGCCCACGAGTGGCAGAAAGACTGTTTCTTTGTGTCCACTCTGAATCACTGGAATTCAGGGCCGGGGACTACCCTTTCCCAGCCCTCCCTGCAGGGCAGGTTCTGTGGTACAAGGTAGTTCTGCCAGAAGCAAGGTAGGCATAGCCTCTCAGCCTGGATACTGTAGGCTGCCCCACCTGGCAAGGACCCTTGAGGGCTCATCCCTCATCATGTCACTTGCTGGGTTCAAGGGACACGGAAGCCCTAGGTGTGATGCTCAAAAGCCTCAGTAACTGGGCTAAGGGGTCAGTCTGGGCAGCCACGGGCTCTGCTGAGAATGCCGAAGGGCCATTGCTTTTAAGCGCAGCCTGCCTTTCTGGACAGGTGAGCCTCAGCAGGACCGAGGATCAAGTGCCTAGCAAAAGCAAGCCTGGCTAGAAACTGGAAGCTGTCAGGGTGTGACTCAGGGAGGAGGAGGGGAGGATCCGGGATTCGGGGGACCTACTGACCTCTCCCCTTCTACTTCTTGCAGCCTGGACAGATCCCGGGGAGAAGACTCTTCCCCTAGCATGGCTCAGACACCTTCTCCTGGGCCTTGGCTGTGGTTTAGGCTTCTTGGTGTGTGTCTGCCTTTTGATCAAGTGCCCGTACCTTGGGCCATGGTAAGGAAACCCCTGGCCAGGCTCTCCTCCCCACCCCATCTCCATCACAAACATTGTTCCGGGTTGGACTGGGCTGCACCCTGCTCCCTCACACCTGCCCTCCCTCTCCCTCCATCCACTTCCTCAACAGCCAACCTGTCCCTGTGTCCCAGCTCCAAAGCTGGTATGGGAAGGGGAGGTAGAGCGTGGCGGGAAGAGTTCCCTGAAGGCTTCCTGAAGCTCGCAGGGGCTTCTGGGTGTCTTTCCCATTGCTCTCGGCCCCCTCCTATCCATCCCAACCTCGCCACACTCCTGCCTGAAACCCTTCTTAGAGGGTCTCCATCCCCACCCTTGAGAGCCTCCACTGGAAACTGGGTGCCAATCAGAGCGGGCCCCCCTCCCCTTTCTCCAGTTAGATACGTCAGGTTCTAGGCAGCTGAGTGAGCGGAACACGAGGTAGGACTTTAACTTCCGCTCACTGTCTCCGCAGAGCAGCTGCCGTTGTGCCGTGCCCGACGGGTACCACCCTCCATGGGGGGAGCTCACTTGCACGCCTCTCTCCCCCCTCCCCCTCTAGCCCGTGTGGTCTCCCCGCATGCAGTTCCGTGCCCACAGAGTGGGCAATCCTGTTACACATTTGCTTTGGGTGTGTCTTCTGGTCAGCAGGTCAGCTCCTGGGGAGCAGAGGCCTCCTCTGTAGTTCACTCTTGTGTCCCCGGCACCCCGTACCGTGCTCTCCCTTAGTGGTTGCTCAGTCGACATTGCTGGATGAATGAGTAGATGCAGGATAGGCCCGTCCCCTGCTCTCAGGGCTGTGGGGATGGTGGTAGGCCATGATGCCAGCCCCTTCCTGGTCACACCCTCCGTTTCTCCCCTTCTTCCCTCCCTGGCCAGGCTGAAGAAGGCGCTCAAGTGCCATATCCCAGATCCCTCCAAGTTCTTCTCCCAGCTGAGCTCCCAGCATGGAGGAGACCTTCAGGTAGGAGCCATGGGGTAGAAGACAGAGGGGCAGCCCAGGGGCAAGCTGTGGGGCAGATAGGTGACTAGGTGACAACGGCTTTGCCCTCGGTGAGAGGATACAGGTTGCTGAAGGAAGCAGCCTGTCCCGTGGGCACGGCTCTATCCCCACTCCTCACAGGAGACTTCTATCTAAGCTGCAGGGCCTGGGCTCTAACCCTGCCTCTGCCACTGCCTGGCTGGGTATGTTACAGAGCTTCCCAGTGTCCCAGGGTCCTCGCTTTTACAGCCGGGGGAAAAACAAAGCAGTGATACTGTGTGTATGTGGATGGCCCCGGGACCGTTTCCGGGCACATGGTGGGTGCTAAGGAGCTGCAGGGGGTCCTGTCTGCTTCTCCTGTGCCTGGGGGAACGGATCAATTCCTGCCGTGTCCAGTGAGTCATCACTGTAACACAAATCCTCAGGCCACAAGCCCTGGGTTTGTTTTCAAAGTGTGACCCAGACAGTCATAGCATCTCTCTCCCCAGTCTACCTCCAGAGGCAAGGGGTGGATGGAGGGTGGAGGGCCTCTATTGTTACCAACCCCAGCCTAACTGGGGTTCCCACGGTTGGGAGGCGTGTGGCGGGCCAGAGAGAGCTGTGCTGAAAATGCGAGGGCCAGGCTGGGCTCTAGTCTTGCTGGGCTGGGCTTGTGTGCTCCATCAGGCCTGAGCAAGACCCTTATTATTTATCTGAGACACTCCCAGAACTGAAGGTGTCTTATTGGGGTACTCTCGGTGTGTGTGCGCGCGTGTGCGTGTGTGCGTGTGTACAGGTTTCTGAATGCATGAGTGTGTGTAGTGGGGTGAGTAGCTCCTCAGAACTGTATTTTTGAGCTGGGCGTGGTGCAGCACAACTTTAAAACCAGCAGAGGCAGGCAAGATCTCTGTGAGATCGAGGCCAGCCTGGTCTACAAAGCCAGTTCTAAGATACTCAGGGCGGTTATACAGAGATACCTTGCCTTGAAAAAAAAAAAAAAGAGAAAGAAAACAAAAAAAAGAACCCTGTTTTTCTAAGCTGTATGTTGGTGGCAAACGCCTTTAATCCCAGCACTCAGGAGACAGAGGCAAGTGGTTCTTTATGAGTTCAAGGCCACCCTAGTCTACAGAGCGAGTTCTAGGAGAGCCAAGGCTACATAGAAAAACCCTGTCTCAAAACCAAAGAGCAAACCAAACCAGCCAAGCAAATGAAACAACCCTGCTTTTCCTGACATCCATTCTTCTTCCCCGAATGTGGTGAGGTCCTGACCAACAGACAAACACAAGCAAACCTTGGTTAGCTGAGGGTCAGCAAGGACTTACGATGTGGCCTCTTTGTGTTGTGGCCAGTCGCCATGTTGGTGGCCTCTGGTGTCATGAATCTCGCTCCACTTACATGTAGGTTAGACTGAGGTCCTGCCATGATGGGAAAAGGAGCCACCAATTCTCTATCACTGTGGGGCAGGACCTGTGTCCTCGCTGCACCAGCTTCCTGTGCCTTGAGGCCCTCAAGGACGTGGCTAGCTGGTTGACTCCATACGAGACAGTGGGGTTTCTGGCCCTTCTGTGTTCTCACACCTAGTTCAGTCAAGGTAGACAGCAGGTGCTCAGTAGCCAGCCACACTCGCCCCTAGCCAACATCCTCCCAGACATCTGTGAACCAGCGCTGTGACTGTGTTCATCTATCATTGTGGCCCAAGGTGACAAGCTCAGACAGTCCATCAAGACAGCAAGGCTACAGGATGCTTCCAGGTTGGGGGTCCTAGGTGCTGCTGAAGGATGGAGAGCAGGAGGAAGGGCGGGGGTGGGGGGAGGCGTTGAGTTCAGTGGTGGGGTCGAAGGTGGGGCAGCCCATTTACTCCCCTCACTTTCTCTGGCAGAAATGGCTCTCCTCGCCCATGCCCTCATCCTCCTTCAGCCTCACCGGCCCTGCCCCTGAGATCTCTCCGCTGGAAGTGCTTGACCGAGACACCAAGGCCATGCAGCTGCTCATGCTACAGCAGGACAAGGTCCCCTTATCCTCCCCAGGCGGCCACTCACAGGGCAGCTGCTTCACCAACCAAGGCTACTTCTTCTTCCATCTGCCCGACGCCTTGGAGATTGAATCCTGCCAGGTGTACTTCACCTATGACCCCTGCACAGAGGAAGATGTGGAGGAAGACGGGCCAGGGCTGCCCGAGGGATCTCCCCTCCCCCCTCTGCTGCCCCTGGCAGGAGAACAGGGTGACTACTGTGCCTTCCCTCCCAGGGATGAGCTGATGCTCTTCTCCCAGAGCCTGAGCTCCCCCAGCGATGCCTATGGGGGCAGCACAGAGCCTGAGGAAAGGCCTCCCCTCTCCCTGCAGGAGGGACTTCCCACCCTCTTGGCCCCTGACCTGATGGGCTCACAGCGCCCTCTGGAGCTGGTGCTGGAAGGGGATGGAGAGGGGCTGTCTGCCCATAGCTCTGGGGAGCAGGACGGTGTCCCTGAAGGCGGCCTTCATGGGCAAGGTCAGGACAGACGCCAGGGCCCTGCCCTGGCTCTGAACACTGATGCCTACCTGTCTCTTCAAGAACTGCAGGCCCAAGAGCCAGTGCACCTGGTATAGACAGGTGGGCAGGATGGAGATCCAGCTGCCTGGGTCAGGTCAGGCTGGAGGGAGACTGGTTGAGGGTTCTCCCGAGGACAGTCCACTGTGGACGACCGTCCCTGGTAATCCCTACCCCCAAACCTAGTCATCCACTTCTCAGCTCCACTTGCTGCTTCCTGGTCCAGCCAGGAGCTGGGGTGGGGAGGGGGCAGTCAGCTCCACCTTCCTATTTAGTCATGAGGTCACTAGCTTCCTGTACCCGCCTCACTGGCCCCTGCTCACCTTCACAGGGCAGCCAGAACTCGCCTCCCCAGACACAAATGTGACCTTGCTACCCTTCTGTCCTTGAGCTTGCTGTGGTTCCCTGCTCCTCTCTGCATCGTTTCCGTCCCAACTCTTGCCCCACCAGCACTGCTGTGGAAGCAGCTGTCTTCAAGGAGGGATGTGAGCTGTCAGTGTCCTAATCAGAGCAAACAAAGGGGTCCTGATAAGACAGGAGGCAGCCTGTTGACTGTTGTGGGTCCTTCACAAAAGGGGAGGGTGGGGATTGGAAGAATCATCAGACCAGTCACCTGAGATTCTAGCCACGCCCTGCCCCTCTCCCATCCCCCAGCTATGTGTAACTCTGCCCCTGGTACGCGTGTCTTGGGAGATGCTGGCATAAGTGGCGGGGGGAAGGGTTGACTGGGGTGAGGACTCCGTCTATGTAGCTACGGGAACATCTATTCTGGGGTGTTTTTTTTTTTTTTTTCTGTGAAGCAGCTGCTTTGGGGTCTCCTATGTCTCTGTAAGTAAGCCTAGTAGACTGAAAGGCTCACCAAGCTGGACTTGAGTGCACTTGATGTCATATCTGGGAGAAGCACAGAAAAGCTTACACAACAAGCCTGGTGTCAGTGCTGTCCTTTGTGGAAACCTCGCAAGGATCCTCTGGGGTCTCCTGGGGTCCCTGGTGTAAGCTCTTGGCTTACACCTTCGTAGACACTGTTCGTTGTGCCTCATCTAGATGTCAAACGTCCCTCATCTTCAGGCTTCTCTTGAGCGTCTCTTGAGGGAGCTACTGCTTTCCTAAGGCACTCAAACTTCGCCATTCCATTCCTGAAGGAGATAAAGGGGACAGCTCCTGACCTGTATTCCTTCTTCCGGGCTATCACCTGGCTTCCCAATGATAGGCTCAGGATGGACATAAAGAGCTACACAGCAGAGGCTGTTGGGCCTTGCCATGACTAGCCTCACCAACTCATGAGATCCAGCAGCCCCGGCAGGAGATCTCCCTCAGATGAGAGGCACTACTCTCTACAGACATCTCCGCCGGCACAGAGCCTCAGTTTCAGGGTTGACGGTGCAGTGGTGTTCAGAGCCCATGTCAGAGAAGCGGAGACCCGGACCTAACTAATGGATATCCTGCCCACAGTGCCTGCCTCAGGGCTCCTGCTCGCTGCTTATTGGCTGTCTGGCCACACCGCAGGCCTGACCTAGCCAATCAGGTTATCGTTCAACCAAAAGTCCTGGGAGCAGGCTCTCGGGACAAGCAAGAAGAGATGAGCCAATCGAAAGGAAGTTCGGGCACCACATTTTTTCCTGCCTGCCAGAGGTCAAAAGTCTTGCTTCCTTATGTATGAAACCCCAACATCCCCTCCTGCCACGGGATGCTGTCTGTCACCAGCCTCCTCTGTCTCAGCGAACAGATGAGCCCGGAGCTCTGCACCCACATTCTTGACTATGTATCCCAGGCAAGTGGGCAAACCTTTGGCGTCCTCTTACCTTAGCTCCCAAATAGAAAAATACAACCTATTTCCACTGCAAAAGAGGTCTGGGAAGGATTCGGGTCCCTCTCTTTTAATGATCTCTGTGTGCCATCTTTGTAATTATTTCCTGGAATGTTTTAAAACACGTCTACTTTTTTTTAAATTATGGTTTAAATACATGTATTCACAGATTTTCCTTCATATCGCTCCCGTGGCTGGAAAACCCAATCTTCCTATAAATAAAAGGTGATTGTAAAAAAAGCAGATACAATAAAACTATGTAATGTGTGACTCTGATCTGGGGTTGGAGCCTGGTGGCGGAGTTCCATCCCGACACTGCAAGAGATAGTGTTTTGAAATTGCTGGTGGTACTCTGTCATCTCGGACTAAAAGGGTGATGCTGCTAGGGAACTGGGGGAAACTTCCTGTGGGAAGAAAGCAGAGCTGTTGAGAACATCTTCATCAGTTATAGAAACCACGTTTCTATGCACAGGTATATTCTCCAACATCCCTTAATTTCCCACATCCCAGGCTTGGGTAAGTGTTCCAACAGCTTCTAGTCTGATTTATCATCCAGCTATCATCTGTCTCGCTTCCTCTCTCTCTCTGTCCATCTAGCCAATGATCACCTATCACCTGTCAGAATTTTTATAGTATCTTGAGGAACAATAGCCAGCAATCTCTAGCATTCGTAAAGCTGCATGTGTGGCAGACATTGCCAATTGACCATAGTATACATGGCAGACACTGCTAATCTATTGCACTTATAAGTAGTAGACATTGCTAATCTATTGCACTTAACCATGGCAGACATTGCTAATCAATTGCACCTACGTGGAGCAGACATTGCTAATCTATTGCAGCTAATCGTGGCAGACAGGGCTAATCGATTGCACCTCTACATGGCAGACACTGCTAATCAATGGCACCTGTGCATGGCAGCCATGCATCCTTGATCACAGCCCCCCTTCCACCAGAGGCTGGATGTAGCTTTGGGTTCTGCAGTACTGTGTCTGGGGCTGCCTCAGATGATGAGACCTGTCTGGGTCACTCTGCCTCTCACACAAGGAGCCCTTCACTTTTCCTGGCTGATTCTCCAGGCAGGAGAGCAGGTGCTGAGGTGATGCACCTTGGGAAGCTGAGAGGACATTGGGCGAGGGCTCCAGAAGCCCAGGGACCCAGACGCCCAGCTGGTCCTGGTGTCTCAGGTCCCTGAGAGACCTGAGCTGCTGCTGTGAGGAGAAACGGGCCGCCATATGTCAGGTGGAGATGGCCAGTGCCACTGCATGTCTGATGGAGATCTTGGGAGCAGGGCCAGGAGAGAGCAGCTGGCAGGATAGTGCAGGGAAGGGTGTGCCAGGACCCCCAGGGTCAGGTTTCAGGGGAAAGGCACCAGCTGGAGAGCAGGCACATCAGGGAGTGGGGGGTGGGGTGGAGAGGGGTGGAAATTCTCAGGTGTAAAGTGAGGAGCAGGAGGCAGCCAGGATCATCTGGGAATGCAAGGAAAGGGCTGGGGAAGGAGGCTCGGGCCTCTCCCATGTCCTTCTTACCAAGGCTGACATGTAAGTTCCTTCCCCAAGCTGCATCTCTGCTCTCCTCCTCCTCTCTCGAAGCAACTTCCAAAGCCCAGGCTTTCAGGCAACTTACGGTAAAAATAGTTTGTTCAAGTCTAAGACAGAAATCCAGCCTTGCCCTACTCATCGTGGTGGCTGGGTCAATAGAGGAAACCCCAAGAAAGCAAAAGTAAAACCAAAACAACAAAGCACACTGGAACAGGATGGTGGCTCACTCCTGAACCCCAGCAGCAGGGAGCCAAGGCAGGAGGATCTTAGGTTTGACGGTGGCCAGGTCCATGCAGTGAGTTCCAGGTCAGTCTGGATTATGTGACAAACCCCTGTTCTAACAAACAAACACCACCCCCAAACTTTAACAAACAACTAACCAACTAACCAACCAACCAACCAACCAACCAACCAAACAAACAAACAAACAAACAAACAAACAGAAACTCCCCAAACCTCACAAGCTGGCCAACTTCCTCTGCCTCCACCAAAAAACCATATCACCTCCACATCCTTGAGAGGCAGCAGCTTGCCTCCCACTTGGCGGATGAGGAAACTGAGGCTGGGGTGGGGGTGGTTGAGATGTGTGGCTGATAGAGGGTAGAGATCCTTGGTCCCTAGAACTTTCTGAGTGCAAACCTGCCTGGAGATACTTCTACCAAAGGCGGAAACCCAGGAAGCTCTTTCTCAGGCTCCTGGTAGCCAGTCTCGAAGGAAGACAAAGATGCAATGCCTACCACGCTGCAGGGGGAAGAGAAACCCTTCCCACAGGGCCACTGGCAGGACATGGGGCGGAGGGCATGGCTGCCGGTCAGGCGAGGCAGCCTTGGGCTCCTCCTCATGACTGAAGGAGCCTCCCTCTGTCCACAGCATCCCACAGGACAGGCACCAGCAGCAGCTGCCTCATCCCTGCTCAGCCTCTCCCTCGCCCTCCTGTCTCCATGACCCATCTATCTACCAGGCATGTCTGTTTTCTGACATCACAACATTATACCATCTACCACTGGTTACTTAGTTAGTTAGTTAGTTAGTTTGTTTGTTTGGTCCCATTTTACAGAGGAGACCTGAACTCAGAGTGATCGGATGGCTTGCTCCAGGGCACATAGCTGGAACCCTGCAGAGAAAACGACGTGAACCTGGGTGATCTGTGACATCCAGTGTGTGCCAACAAGTGCCTCAGACCACGTGACAGGAGTCCACTGAGGCAAGAGTGGCAGCTTACGGTGCGTTTAGTGCAGAGGGGAGGAGTGGTCGTGAAACACCCCTCCGTCAGCCCTGGGGCTGCCCCCGCTGCTGACATTTTTCGACGCCAGGGATGTGACACACCCTCTGGGGGCCTTGAGAGAGCCAAGCAGGAAGCGGGGCTCGCTTGAGGCCTGGGGCGCAGGATGCCAGGAGGTGCCCTCGATTCCAGGAAACCGGGGTGCTGAGGGGAGAGAGCAGCTGGTGGAGAGGCCAGCTTCTCCGCCCCTCTGTGCACCTGGCCTCATGTGGGCACGCACACAGGCACACAGGTGTGGGTGTGCTAGAGGTGCTGGCCCTGCGGCTGGAGCGTCCACAGAGGCCTCAGCCTCCGTGAAGAACTGTGGATGCTGCAGACTAGTGGTCAGCACTCATCAGCCTGTCCCCGACTCGCTGCTCTCTGTTGGTGCTCTTGTCTGCCCTGCAGCCCTTATGCAGGGGTGGTAGGGTGGGCACAGGGGCTCTCTTGCCCCTCTTCATCCTCCCTAGGCCTTACTCCTTTGTACATCTGCCCCAAGCATCCTGAAGAAGAACCTCAAGGCTTCTTTCTAGAAGGTATGACATGCACCGAAGCTAAGCTAGGGGCCTCCTCTTCCTCCTCCTCCTCTCAGGTCTGCTATCTTAGCTGCCACCAGCCTTGCTCAGGGGCATTGTGTCCCTGTCCTGTCGGTCCCACTGGGCCTTTGGGAGCCTCAGTTTTCTTGTTTATGATTTGGAAGGGAAGGGAGCAAAAAGGAGAGTCTAGCTTCTATGTTTCTGGTGGCGCAGAAGGCTGGTCTATAGCCTCAGAAGGAGGTGGAAGCTGCACCTTCATCAGAATACTTCCCCATTTTCTAAAAGAGCTCTCCCCCCCGCCCTCCCCACTCCCTTCTCCACATCAATGTCCAGGGGACTTAGTGACATCGGTTGTGTTTGGTAGTGCACCTGAGGCCTGCCTTTCATGCAATTATTTCAGTGGGTTTACTGAGCTCCTGCTGTGACCTTCAATACTAACGATAAGATCGGGAGGAGCTGGAATGTCTTGAGATGCTCTTGGTGGAGGTCAACCCCAGCGACCTGGTGGGTGTGTCCCTTCCTGACCCCTTCTTTGGCTAGGGGCACAGAGAGTTTCCAGGAGCAGAGCAAGCTGGCTGGCAAGAAAATTCTCTCACTGCGATAATGATGCCTGTGCAGCTGGGACTCCAACACCTGGATGCTGATGGAGACTGGGAGAGGAGACAACAACGCTAGGGCTCAGAATAATGACAGTGTTACACAACAGTCACTCAGAAGGCACTGGCACCGGTCCCAGGCCCTCCCATCACCACTAGGCTTCCGGTTATCTCTTCTCTGTGAGAAACAGTTGCGGGAACAGAAAAGAGGGCATGTGGCTAATGGGGGGGCGGAGCCTCCTTCGAGAATGTGAGCAAGGGTAACCTCAGCCAGGTCACCTATCAGAAGGAGCCAACCCTGGAGCTGAACTGTCTCTGGTGGCTCTCTGCTTGCAGATTGTAAAGATCAACAAAGAAAAGTGTTGGCTATTGAACCCTGATCCCTTGGACATTTTGAACTCTCTCTGCCTGAGGCCTGTGTGCCAAGCTCTGCCAGCAGCCACCAGAGGCTGGAGGAGGCATGAGGGGCATACCCCTACCCTGGGGCTGCTATGGCCCGATTGGAGACTTCTGACCTTCAGAACTGAGATGGAGCATACTGCTGTCATGCCAAACCATTCTTGGACATTCTTGCTCTACCAACCCCAAGTATGGAGATGTCTGCCAACAGAGTACGCCTGTGCAGAACATGCGAATATGAGCCTATGAGGAGGCGCTAAGTACATGCAAGCAAAGACTTTACCGCTCAGCTAGCTACGCTCCCATTTCTACCCAGACAGGAATCATGGGTAGGGGAGGAGAAGTTCTCTCGGTGCTGCCTCAGGTGGTACTACCTTCTGTGGCAGCTCTTTGTCAGGTGCTGGGAGCTTCTACCCCGTAGTGGTCATTATTACAGGCCCAGAGCACGACAATTGGCCTACAGTGACTAAGACACGTGGTCCTAATTTTGGGCAGCTCCCTTGAACTTACCCAGGGATCAGGACTTACAATTTCTCATCATCTCTTTGCATCCTTCACGGGCTCTGTCACCCCTGTGCCCTATCATTTCTGCCCCAGCTGCTCCCTGCAGCACCTCAGCTGTCCTCAGGCTGCTCCTGACGTGGTTGCTGCCGTCACCCAGCTTGCTGCTGTCCCACTGTCTTCTCTTTGTGTTATCAGCCAATACTATTAACGATAACGATCACAAATAGGCAAAAAAGACACCACTCGAGAAAATCTTATTGGACTTAATGTCACAAAACCAGGGGCTGCACAAGGAGGTGTCTCCAGGCTGGCTGGGAAAGTGACCTGGACACCCTGCTTCTGTAGACAAGAAGTGGGTATGCTTCTGACATCTGCATCAAACCATGGCAAACTTTTATGCAAACAAAGGACTGTCTTTGTACTGACCACAGGCCTTTGGGGAAGTGCTAGCCCTCTGGCCTGGGTCAAACTGGTTGCAGGGTCATGTGGAGTTCACCAAGTCCAGCACAAAGTGTTTGAAACAGAAGCAGCTGAAACAGTGCCTCCTGGAGCTGGCAAGCAGCTGTGATGGTCAGGTAGCCTCCTCACAGGTGTCCAGGGAGTGTTTAAGGGGCTGGCATGGGGACAGGCCCGCTGGCTGCTTCACTTGGTAGTCCGTTACTCAAGTTGGCCAGGACATCATAGAAGCATCCGAAATCAAATTGGGGAGTAAATTACCCTGTATCCCAAAAATTAGCTTTCTTAAAGAAAAAGCAAGCCTTAAAGGGGGTTCTTACCATAGGATCTTATCATCTGCAGTGATTTAACAGTAATTCAGTGTTCCCCCTCCTCCGCAGTACCCGCTGATCCATCTCGAGACCAGCTCTCCTACTTTCTGCACATCCCCCAAGGGACTGTCCCAGCTTACATCATCCCATTGCAGGAAGGTCCCTGAATTAAAAAAAAAAAAAAAAAAAAAAAATGAAGAAGGCTATCTAAGCTTTTCAGCTTTTCTTTTTTTATGGACAGTGATTGCAACCTGCTACATATGTGGCCTGGCATGTTCAGCCCCTAGGAGGGGGTACCCGACACATTTGGGACTGGGAGGGGAACCCCTATTGTATGTGGAGGGGGAACCCGGCTGCCTATGGGTCCTTGGAGGGGCACCCTACTTCACATTAGTCATAGAGGAGGCACCGGGCTGCACATAGGCCTGGGAAGGGGCACCCCACTGCGTGTGCACATTGGGAAGAGGCTGGGTACCCATCTGGCCAAGTGCACGGCATACGCCCAGCCCTGCTTTGTTAAGCCTGGGTGAGGCAAAGCGCAGGTTCTCAGCATCGGAAAAGCGTGCCTCACAAGTGATTCAGGATGCAAGTTCAAGATCAAGGTGTCTGTGGGCCGCTGCCCCCTGGAGCTGGAGAAGAATCTATTCTAGGCCTCTACCCAGAATCCAGTGGTTTCTGAATCCAGTGTCCTTGTCTGTCGATACTGTACCTGATCTTGTCCCTGTCTTCACTTGCATTGTGTGTGTGTGTCTGTCCATCTGTCTGTCTCCAAGTCCCCTTTTTGTGAGGACACCAGTCATATTGCATTAGGGGCCACCATCCACCTCACATCTTTCTGCCCGCAACAACTCAGCCTTGTCAAGCCCTAGATGGCAGTCTGGGGAGGTGACCCATCTTGACAACAGCAATGGAGAAGACTTGGTTTTTGACCAGCCTGACTCACTGACCTCTGGGCTGACTTTCGTCACTTGAATATGTTGAACACTTCAGGGCCTGTATCTGCCCTTCTGTGTGTCCCTAGCTTTCAAGCCATAGCGGCCAGGAATCTGAGGGCCAGTAGTACTGTAACATACAGATTCCCAGGAGCAGTGAGACCTTCTTGGCACCTATGTGGAAGTATGCTCCTATTGTCTCTGCTGTGGAGACAAGCAGAGGACAAGAGCCAGGCATCTCAGCCATGGCTCCAGGCTCTCAGATCTTGGGGATCTGAGGCTCTTGCCCTCAGACGCTTGTCCTTCTGTGGCCAACCCCTTTCCTAGGCTGAGTGGATCAATGGCTGTGGTCACGAGGTGCAGAGGCCGCCAGTTGTGCAAGATCTTTGAGACCTCCCAGCTGCCATCCTGCCTGGGCCAGGGCCCAGGCCACTTGGCATTCCAGAGGACAGGACAGGGCATAGAAGAGGGACTTGGGGTGTCTGTGTCCCGGTGGTATGTGGACCCTGTTCCCACCCAAGTTCCTGTCCCTTGGAAGGTTTGTGTGGTGGAAGCCGGAGAGAGCGGAGAGAGGAAGGAGAACAAACTGGGCTGAGAATGAGCGTCTAGGCAAGAGTGGAGACATCCCTCATAGGATTGAGGATCAGGCCCACAAGTAGGGGCAAGGACTCAGACAGAGCTGAGGGTCAGGAGACGGTGAGGAGAGGTACCCTCACTCTGAGTCAAATGCAGCTGTGCGTTTCCATCCCCACAATGCTGGGCTTTCACACACCATTTTCCTGTTGGCCCAGAAGGGGGCTAATGGCTACAACTAATCATACAGGAACCACGACTCAGGGCCAGGGACCTGCCCTGGTTCCTCTAGCACAGAAGGGACTGTGTCCACGGAACATGCAGCTGGCATCACAGAGTAGGCGTGTGTCCACGCTCTCTCTACACTCCATTCACACTCCACAGCCCCCCCCACACCTCACACCCCACATCCATCTCCTCCTCCACGTGTGCCTCATAGCTCCACACACACCTTACATCTCACAACCTATGTCCGTCACACTATGAACGCGCGCGCGCGCACACACACACACACACACACACACACACACACACATGCACACACCCCCTTGGGAAACACACATCCACAGCATGGTGGGCCATGTAGATATCCCTACAACTCTGCAGGAAACCCAGGTTCGTGTCATGTGACCCCTCTGCAGCAGCACTATTTCACAGAATTCTATGATGAGCCTCGATTGCAATGTCAGTTTCCTAGATGGCGCGTCAAAGTGCAAAAAAAAAAAAGTGGGTGGGATTCATTTTCGCACAGTTCATCTAACCCAAGAGAGCCGGCAAGCTCACCTTTGAATCTACAGTCAGTATGCAAATGATCAATGAGATAGTTGACATTTTTTGCTTGCTCAGGGCCTGCGAAACCTGGGGAGTATCTTACATATAAGCCCATCTTGGCTCATCCTGACTCTATATCATGTCCAAGGGCCACATGTGGCCAGTGGCCACTGTACTGGACAACAGGACTTTGTAGAGTACAGGTAATTCCTAAATCAATGAAAGAGGGTGTCAATCCCTCCCACCCCGTACTTCAGAAGGCATGAGCCCAGGCCGTTCTGGCCTGTTTAAGCCTTTGTGCACCCCTGCTCTCACCTGAATGGGCCTCTGCAATTTCCCACTCATGCTCTTGGGGGACCAAGGGCTGTAACAAGGCAAGAATGTCACCAAGCAACAGGCCCCAGGGGAGAGCTCAGGTCTCCTGCTCCTGCCTGTCAGCCCCCTGGGTACCCAGCCGGGCAGGGCGGGGCTGGGTAGGCGGGCATTGCTTGCCTCCTGCCTCCTGCCTGTTTACCTTCGTTCAGTTACATTGTGGCCCTGGACCTGAAAGGAGGCCCATGGAGCTTGGGGCCACAGGCCACAGAGGACAAGGGCCAGACACCCCAGCCATGGTTCCAGGCCATTGATCCAACCTAAGCTGGCCAGCTGGGGGTGGAGTGACCTTGGCCTGGATAAACAGAGGCTTCCAGGCCTGTGTGCAGGCCCGGCACCTACCTTCCACTCTTGAAGGTAAGCAGGGACCTCTGGGACATGGGACAAGGACCTATGAATCTCCCCATGACCACATCTCCTCCGAAAGTCAGTCCTGGCTTCATGGAGCTTTGAGTGGCTCATGTTGCTTTGAGCTGGGCCCGCCAGAGCCTCCTCGGCCAGAGTGACCTGGAACAGAGGCCACGGGGTGCGCTGAGCTGCCATTAGGGAAGTGTGGGTGGAGCGAACCTAGCTGGGGCCTAAGGTGTGGGGTGCTGGAGGGCTTCCAGGGACCCAGTGGCCCGGGATTCAGGTGTGCAGAGACAGAAGGGGCCCAGTTTATGGGGCTGGTGGCCTTATTTCTCATTCCACACGCAGCTTCACAACCTGGGCTTTCTGGAGAACAAGGCAGACCCAGAGCCCCACTCTGTACCCATGCGTAATCTACACACAGGAGCCTTGTAGGCTGGAGCTAGTGTGTGTATGTGTGTGTGTGTTTGCCAGGACATGGGAGGCCAGGGTGTGTGCCTAGGGGTCCGTGTAATGAACAAATGGGTGTGCATTCCTCAATGTGTCTCAGTCTCTACACAGCTTGGGGTGGGTATACGTGGATTTATGTGTGTGGCGGGAGCTCCCAACAGTCAGTTCCTCAGGCCCCTAGCTTCATCGGTTCACAGCAGGACTTCCTCCAAGCTCCAACGCGTACCTCTTATGTCCCTGGGTCAGAGTCCCAGCTCGGCCCTTCTGTTCAGTCTTAGGGAGTCCATCTCCTGGTTGAGTCAGCACCCACTGAAAATAAACAGTAAAGCAAACAGCCGAGGTCGCTGGAGGCAGAATGGGGCTTACGTGTCGCCATCCGGTCCACGGCTGGAGGGGAACTTTCTCATACGGTTGGTTGAATCCGGATCTGTACTGTGCTACCTGGTGGCCCTGCCCCAGTGAACCCAGCCTGCAGAGGGTGGATGGGGTCTCCCCACTGTCAGGCGGGCGGGAAAGGGTGCAGGGTAGATGTTCCCACCAGGGAAGAAGACTGTCCGCTTCTAGGGGCACCACATCGTGGGTCAGAGAACACATCCGTCTGCTCAGTTGCACTGATGGGGCCACCACCCCTCCAGGGGCACTCTGGGAGAATTTTTAGAAGGAGGTTGTCGTCTCCACTGAGCGTGGAGGTGACATCAGGGCTTGCAGGTCAGGAGAGAGCTCAGCAGAAGAGGAAACATTTGGGGAAGCAGGGGCACTTGCCTGTCAGTGAACAAGGACTCGTGGGGCTTACGGTTCAACCAACACCATGCTCGGGCAGGTGACTGGCATGTGGTGCACAAAATTTACTATTGCCCTTGTTGGACAAGGTTATAATCGGGGCGGAGGGGGGAAGCAAAACAATGTCAAGACGCAAGAAAGTGGTGAGGTGGTGGGGGATGGGTCAGCCGTTTGTGGGGGTGGCGTCTCTGGGCTAGGTGGGAAGGGCCTGGGATCTCACATTCATTCACTGGGCAGCAAGGGATGGTCCACTCGAGCAGGACACACCACGGTGACGGAGAAAGCCTCATGTTTGTGCGGCCGGAGGGAAGACAGAAAACTCGGGTATATCACGGTAGTAGGCCTCTAGGAATACCATAAAGAAAGTGTCAGCAGGGAAAGAAGGGGGAAAGACTTGGAGGAGATAATATGGGCCATGAGACAAACTGAAGGAGGAACAATCCCCTGGCAGGGGAGGTGGCGAGTGCAAAGGCCCTGAGGTGGGTTAGCAATCCAGCAAAGAGTGAACGTCTGTATTCGAAGGAGGAAGAAGAGAGGAAGACACATGGGGTCCTTCGGGACTGTGCTCTAGATGGCTGGAGCTATGTGTGGCCTGCAAGCTGGGTAGATGGTGATGACATCACCCTGGGGGAGGGGTTGTATGAGAATTCGCTGATGGGAGTGGTCATCAGCTATAGTGACAGTGGGTCTGTGGAGGAGGGCAGATGCAGAGGTCTAGATGATGGTAGGGTGGGAAGAGTGGCTTGGATGTGAGCCAAGGAGATGTCAGGAAGGACGGGGAGAGCCAGCAATCCCAGCACTCGGGAGATGAGGCAGGAGAACTGCAAGTTCAAGGCTGGCCTGGGCTACACAGCAAGGCTGGCGGTTCTCGATGCAGAGGGAAGGTAGAGCCACACGTTTTGATGATGGACCGGACCTCAGAACAATGAGCCCCACTGCCTAATAGTGGCCATCCTCATGGTGGGTGCAGAAGATGGAGCCAAGGGCTCTATTCACTGTGAACCTCACCCCCATGCCCAGCATGGATTTGGACTCTAAATAAGAGCTCAAACAAAATGGGCTGACTCACCCAGTCACCAAATTGAGGGGTTTGGGGCAGGCTCAGCATCCTTTCAGTATCTAAGCCACCCAAGCCCTGCTTCCCATAGGCAATGAGATGAGGAGAGGGCACTGTGCCTGGAGTCCTGGCTGCCCCATTGCTCCACCTTAGCATCTCTTATTCATCTGAGAGAAGGACTGCCTTTTAATTAATTAATTAATTATGCTTGCTAGCTTGCTAGCTGCCTTGTTTGAGACAAGCAAGCCTGGAGTGGCCTGGAACAGATGATCCTCCTGCCTCAGACTCAGACTCCTGAGGCCTAGGATTGTAGATGTGCCCTACCAAGCACGGCTCATGGCTCTGTTTTTTCGTTCTGTTCTGTTGTTTTTTTGTGTGTGCATGTTCTTTGTGTATGAATAAAGCACACACATGCCACAGCATACTTGTGACAGTTAAAGGAAAGGCCCTCGCCTTCCTATCTTGTTTGAAATAGGACCTTGTATGTGTTATCTGGCTCTCGAGGGCTCCCCTGTCTCCCTGTCCCATCTTGCTGTTGAAGCACTGCAATTACAGATGCCCAGTATCGCAGCCAGTTTTTATGTGAGCACTGGGGATTCAAACTCGGGTCCTCACATTTGTCCAGCAAGATGTGTTTGCTCTGCAAACCATCTCCCCAGCCCCATATCTTTTTTTTTTTTTTTCTTTTTAAAGGGAGGTGGAAGCTGGGCAGCGGTGGCTCACGCCTGTGATCCCGGTACTCTGAAAGGCAGAGGCAGGCGGATCTCTGTGAGTTCGAGGCCAGTCTGTTCTACAAAGCAAGTCCAGGGCAGCCAAGACTACACAGAGAAACCCCGTCTCGAACCCTTCCCCAACTCCACCCCCACCCCCCAAAAAAAGGAGATGAAGAGAAACAAGGCCCAAAGCCAGGCCTGTTGATTTTAACCAAGGGTGCCCACGGGCAATAAGTGGCTTAACTAACCAACGACCCTGAACCCATTGCCAGACAGTGCATAAAAAAAGGTCCCCACACTCCGTCTAACCCTAGTGTGGTGATGCTAAGATGAGGTGTCATGGGCTTGAATGAAGGGTAATGTGTGTGCCAACAGAGGGTAAGCAGGCTTGATGCCCGGAATGGTAGCTGGGAGCCATGGAAGGATCCAGAGCAGATGGATGAAGGCAGGGGGCAGAAGACCTTCCTGGTGAGGATGTGGAGAATGGAGTGGAGGAGGACACAGGAGGCAGGATGCCCATCTAGGAGGCTGCCCCAACAGTCCAAGTGACTCCTCCCACCAGCGCATGTTCTGGGGGTACAGTTTGGAGTCACAGTGACCTCTACAGGTATCAATGAAGAGAGAGAGAGCAATATCCCAGTGAACTGGAATTTTTGCCGTGGTGTATGAGAGAGAGTGTGTGAGTGTGTGGAGCGGGGAGGCTTCTATGTCCAAAGTTTGTTTGGGAGTATCTAAGTTAGAGTGACAGAAGGAACCAGGCAAGGTGACATCCTACTGTCATTTGACCATAACTAGTTAATTATAGGAGATAGCCGGAATACAGGAAAAGTCACAGAGACTGTCAGCTGCTGCTGTGTGATCTTTACTAGGGGACTTAGCTTCTCTGGACCTCTTCTCCCCCCACCCCCCATCTGGGTAAATCCCAGGCACTCAAATAGGCAAATCCTGGCCTGACAGAGCTGTTCCCAGGACACTCTGGGTCTCATTTTCTTCATCTGTCTAATGGGTGCAACGTCCAGAGGGATGAGGAAGAGCATAAGGGGACAGTGGTCCATATCCTGGGTAATGTGGGATTAAATAAGGCGATATGTAAAATGTCTCCAAAGGCATGAGATGATCACGGACTTTTGGGGCCTCCTCAGTTCCAGGAAGTTTTGAGAACATGAGGAGAACAAAGGCCAGTGCGACTTGCCTTTGGAGGTCTGGGTCCAGGACAGGGATGGCTCGGAGTGTCTGGGGACTGGGCTGCCTATATTGACTGTGTTGGAGACCCCAAGGAAGGAAAAGCATGTCCCACATGGAATCCCCTGGGAGAGAGGCAGAAGTCTGTGCTCATGGTTCCCACCTGTTTGTGAGCACTGCCTCAGGACCCACGGGGAGCCAAACCACCCATCCCTGCCACCTGTCTCCTGGGATGGTCCTGGGAGGCCACCTCTACCACTTCCCAGGTCCCTGCCCTTCCACGCAAAGGGCAGGGGTGCTGCCCTGCTTCTGGGCACCACTGGGTCTCAGCAAAGGCTCTCTTTCAGATGCCAAGATGTCTACGGCTCCCCTGTTCTACCAGGAGGCCCGCCACTGAGGTTCCCCAAGCGTCTGATGGGCAGGGAAATGGAGGTGATGGACAGGAAGCTGCCGAGCCAGGGGGGATGTTCAACACCCCAAAAAACACCAAAAGAAAAAGCCGGGACTACCTCCGCTTCACACCGCTGTTGCTGGTCTTGGTTGCGCTGGCCTCAGCAGGAGTCACACTTTGGTATTTCCTAGGTAATGGAAAATGAGGGCCCAGTTGGAGTGACAACTGGAAGGTTCAGGGAGGACTGTAATGGCTGTGAGGAGCACAGTAGGATGAACCAGGATTCCAGGTTCAACGGTGCTTTCCCATTTCTTGTGTTCTACCTCTTGAGTCACTATCTGCCATGTCCTTCAAGGTGGGTATACTGCTGGACTTCTGTTGAGTCCCATGGCTTAGTCCACACCCCGCTTCCTTCAGGCAGGGAGTGCGGACTCTTTAGCATCCAAGTCTTGGGTCTGAACTGGCCAGGAAGTGTGAGCATGCCATCCTCTGCATAGCCCTCCTGGGCTATCCCTTGGGCTCAAAGCCAACCTGCTCTGCTTCAGGAGGCCCATAGGCACCCATGAGACCTGCTACCAATTAGTGCCTCTGCTCATTTGAGCCCCAGGTGTTCCTCTGGAGAGAGGACCACAGATTCATCACCTCTGTGTCTCCAGGGCTCAGCGTGGAGAATCAAGAGGACCACTAGAGTGCACTCAGGCTCGAGAACCTCTTTCTCATATCTGACTTTTGCCCTTTAGCCTTCAAGTAGTCCCATGGAGCCCCAGGAACAGTTGGCCATGCTCTGGGCCTAGGAGCACCCTTTCACCCTCACATTCATAGCTTGATGTTCCTGAGCTATCCCCCTGATGGGGATAGCTCACCTCCAACCCTTGATCGTAAAAAGAAGTGGATCAATAAGATTAGTCTGTTCCTGTGAAAACGTTTTCTATATGGTATAGAAAACTCATTGATCTGTTTGTTCATCCATCCAGGCATCACTCACCCATTCATCGTTCATTTATCCATCCATCCATCCATCCATCCATCCATCCATCCATCCATCCAACATCTAACATCCATCCAACATCCATCCATCCATCTGTCCCTCGGCTATCCATTTCATACAACAATCCGTCTATTATCATCTATCCATCTGTCCATTGACCATCCATTCATCCATTTATCTATCCATCATCCATCCATCTACTCATCCATTGTTCATCCAACCATCTATCTCTGTTATACATTTATCAATCCTCCCCATCTATCCACTATACAATCTTCATCCATCCATCCTTCCATCCATTCATCCATCATCTACCCATCCATCTCTCCATCAGCAACTAAACCATCCAATGATTCAGCTATTCATCTGTCATCCATGTGTCAATCATTCACCCCAAAATCCATCCATCCATAATCTAAACATCCATCCATCCATCCATCCATCCATCCATCCATCTATCCATCCACCCAGTGACAGGCACTGGACTTTTTGCTAGCCCCCAGTGATGGCTCCTGTTCTCATGATTCTATTACGGTGTCAAATACAATTGTAACATACCTGTCATGACTGTGGAGGTGAAGGGGGTTGGGAAACCACAGAAAGGAGAGCCCAGCTTACTTACATGATTGGAGGCTTTTCATTAAAGAGTTGCATAGAATTCATTCTGGACATATACACCAGTACAATTTCAGCTCCTGGTAGGCTCAATTCACTTGGAACAGCACTAGGGAAACAGATACACCTAGTTCAGCTCAGATGAGAGAAAGGTGACACATTGAAGATCCACGTCTTAGGGTTTCCCTTGCTGTGATAAAAACACCACGACTAAAAGCAACCTGGCGTGGGGAGGGTTTATTTCACCTTACACTTCCAGGTAACAGCCCATCACTGGGAATGTCGGGATAGAAACCTGGAAGCAGGCGCTGAAACAGACGCCGTGGAGGAACACTGCTTACTGGCTTGCTCTCCACAGCTTGACCAGCCTGCTTTCTTCTGTCACTCAGGACCATCAGTGCAGGGGTGGTGCCTCCCACAGTAAGCTGGGCCCTGTCACATCAATCAAGCGGATGTCCTGTAGGCTTGGCCAAAGGCCAGTCTGGCGAGAACATTTTCCCAGTTGAGAGTTCCTCTTCCTAGTGACTCCAGCTTGTGTCAAGTTGACCTAAATGTAACCAGCACAGTCCCCATATCCAAACAGGGACTGTCTCATGGTGACTCATGAGTCATTCTCAGAGCTGAGGAATGCAGACTGAGAGTAGCCATTCACCACCAAACAGGAAGCCAGCACCCCAAATAGTGCAGGCTGGAGGGCAGTTTCATTAAGTGACTGGGTAATTAGTCTCCAGGGCTGATGGGCCAGGCACTCAACTGGCAGTCATCTTTCTGGCCTTTTCTCCTGTGCCCCAGTGGGGTTCTACCTGGGGCTGAAGACCCAGGGCGTGGGACAAGAGCTCTAGACTGTACCACAGAATGTTACCCCCTAAAAGGACTCAGAGTTGAAGCAGCCCCTGGGGGAGCTGTTAGGATGACCCCCCTTCCTGCTCAGGCCAGCACTGAGTGAGGAGCTAGATGGGAAAGCATGTCCCACCCTCCTTACAGAGAAAATGGGCAGCCCAGAGATGCCTGGGAAATGAGCAACCTGAATCTGCATGCGAGCTGTGCCTGGCTTCCTTGCTGCTCTGTGGGGTCTGTAGCTAGGCCCCTCACTCTTTCAGTCTCCCTACAGCTCCAGACTGGCCCCACCCCCTTCTGCTCCTCAAGGAAAAAAAAAAAAAAAGGCCAACATGAGGGCTCTGCCTCCCACTCCCCCCAAGAGGGTGTGAAGCCAGATCCCAACCCCTCCCACCTTACACGGCGGGACCCCCTTCATCCTCCATGTGCCCTAGAAGGCCCCTCTTAGCCTCTTCTCTTCCTGCGGCATCCTCCAGTGAACATCTGCATTCATCTACCCTGTGGGGTCTGGCTCTGCTCCTATCCCAGCCCCAGCTCCTTTAGCCTCTGTCATGGTCACTGTTGAATCTTGAAGCCCAGCGTCCCTTTTTGTATTGGGCCAGGAGCACGCAGTCTTCCTTGCCATGGCCATGTCCTTGCCTTCATCCTCTCACTTCCTCCGCTTCCTCCACCAAGGAAGAATCTCCTCTTTGTCTCTACCCAGTCTTCTTTGGCATCCTTAGCGGTCAATGTCCTTTGCCCACGGCGACTCCCAAATTTGTTGTCTGGGAGGCACGAGACTCCAGGGATGTGCTGAGGGTTGGAGTGACAGGAGTTGAGGGGGGCAAAGAGGCTGTTGGACATGCTCCCTTGATAACCCATTCCTTTCCGACCAGGGTACAAGGCAGAAGCCACTGTTAGCCAGGTGTACACTGGCAGTCTCCGGGTGCTCAACCGCCATTTCTCCCCGGACCTGGCCCGACGGGAGTCCACTGCTTTCCGCAGTGAAGCTGCCAAAGCCCAGAGGATGGTAGGGACGGGTGGGAGGGCAGGAGGGGGACGTGTGAGACGGTGAAAGGGCAAAGGCACGTGTGGGGGATTCTGGAAGGTTTGGCCCTCACTCTTCTGGGAGGGCTCACTGGGGTAAACTCTGTCTTGGGTAGCCTAAGAAGGGGCTGTGCTGGGGGAGGGGAGGAGTCAGCACAGGCTTCAACTGATTGGAAAGAGACCTTAATTTTTGCCTCTTGCAGCAGGGAAGTTGGAGCTGTGTAGCTCTCAGGACCCTGCCCCTCTCATACAGTCCCCATTAGGGACGGTGGGTTGCTAGCCCCTTCTTCCCTCAACCAGGCACAGAACTAGTGTTCAGGGGGGTCCAGGTAGAAATGTGGGAGGCATCGCACAGCCATGAGAGCCAGAGAACTGAATATTTTGTGCCCCGGCATCTTGGCCTCATAGGGAACAGCCTCAGGGCTCTTTTCGTACTGTGTCCCAGGTGTGCCCTATTACCCTCAATAACAGCAGGCCAACTGAACCCCCAGAGTGGGTTGGCTATTCCAGAGCTTGTGGGGTGGAGCGGGGGACAAGGGGTGAGCTAGGCTGCGCCTAGCTTAACCTTGTGCTTGGGATGGTGGCTAGCATAGGTTTGATGACCAGGAAGGGACTTGGGAAGCCTGCACCTAGGCCACCATGGAGCGTAACCAGGACCTCGTTTCCCTTCTCACAGCTCAAAGAGCTGATTGCCAGCACTCACCTGGGCTTATACTACAACTCCAGTTCCATCTACTCCTTTGGGTGAGTTGTCCCAGTCTAAACGGACCCCCATGAAAGCCACAGATCTAAGGGGGCAGGAGGGGGCCAGGCCCTGCAAGCATCTGACACAATGCCCTAACCATCCTGTTTCTCAAAACTCCAATTATAAAGGAAACAAAGAACATGGGGAAACTGAGGCATGGGCGGGCATGAGAGGAAAGCAGAGTAGGTGCCCAGTAGGTCTGGGTCTCAGCCGTTTCCCTTGAGTCTCGGGGGGTGGGGGGGCTGGGCAGGGATGGGACTTCAGGTCCCTTTCACTTCTGTTCTGCCTAGGGAGGGGTCCCTCACATGCTTCTTCTGGTTTATCCTTGACATTCCCGAGTACCAGCGGCTGACGCTGAGCCCTGAGGTGGTACGAGGGCTTCTGGCGGGGGAGTTACTGTCCAACAGCTCGACCCTGGCTTCCTATAAGACGGAATATGAGGTGGACCCCGAAAGCCTGGTGATCCTGGGTCAGTACTGGGAGGGGCTTCCTGGTGCGGTTAGAGCAGCAGGGCTGGGGGAGGCTGTTCCCCTGCTGGGGGTGGGATGCTCAGGGAACCCCCTGTGACCCTGGGAGCCAGGGCAAAGGGTGGGTGACATGGGGGCTGGCCTTGGATGAGCCTGGCTGAGCTCCTCTTCCCTGTTTGTGTTTTCAGTGTCCCGTTTATTTGGCTTTGCCCTCGTTTATTTCTTTGTTCCTTTCCTTTTGACAGAAGCCAGCGTGAACGACATAGTCGTACTGAATTCCACGCTGGGTACGCTGCTGTGTCCACGCTCTGGCCTCTTTCCTTTTGAATCCGAGGTCTTCTTGTCTGGTCCATTGTTGGGGGTGGGTGGGTCCCCAGGCTCCTGCTGTGTGGGGGCAGGGAGTCTGACCTAGAGACACTGGGGGATGTCATGGGGGGCACTGGGTGAGGGCTCTGAGAAAGGCTGAGGTGTGGGGGCTCAGGGAGAGGTGTGAGTCTTGGATGCGAGTGAGATGGCCGCTGTGGGTGGTGGGCTGTGTAGGTCAGTCATGTAGAAGCCTGTCACTCAACTCAACCTTCCCCTCCCGCCCTTTTTCTTTCTGAAGGTAGAGACAGTCTTGCCAATCCATGCTTGGTCCCTGGGCCACTCAGGATTTAAACTGGTCTGTTGGATGGGGATGTTTCTGGCACATTCAAGAACTCACTCTTCACCCTTTCCTCCTCAGCTGGGTTAACCTGCTCTCCTCTCTCTGTCTCCGATGATACCACACTGCTAGAATTGTTTTGCTTTTCTCCCAGAGGCCCCACTGGCTTGCTGCTCAGGCCTGAGAAGCCAGATGCCAGCTGGCTCACCCTTGTCCTGCCAGGCTAAGGGTACCGTGCATGCTATAGTCTATGGACTGGTGACTCCTGGGGTTGTGCAGATCCTATCGGGCTAGTGTACCCTGAGACTCTGAACACAGGCTCTGGTGCTCAGATTCCTCCTGTACCAGCTGGAGTTCCCATCCAGGGCTGAAGGAGGAGTGCAACGCCTTGACCCCTCTCAGAGAGAAGCTTAAAATCCTAGTCACTCCTGTTCTGATTCCCTTTCCCCCTGCCCTCAGTGTGTGGAAGCACTGATCTCAAAGCACACTGTAAAAGCTAAAGCCACGACGTTCATTTAGAGTTATGCTGAGTGGGGCCAGATATACCTGCCATGATGAGGGGTGCTATGGAAGGCAGGAACACAGATCTTGTTTCTATCGTGTCTGTCTGTCCTCTGTCACCTGTCTATCATCTATGTGCCTACCATCTAGCTATCTCTCATCCCCGGTATCATCCGCCTTTATGTGTGTATTATCCTCTCTGGGGCATCTATACGTATATCCACCTTCTCTCTCTGTGCACATACCCATCCGCCTGTCTGTCATCAGTGGCAGTCTGCAAGGATGCTGCAAAGTCGGACACAATCTGGTGTTAGGCACAACCAGGCGGTGGAGCTCTGACCTTGGGTGACTTTTGCAGTGACACAAGATCTCTTGGTTAACACGCAGCCCTCCACAGCCTGTCCCTCGAGGTCTTGATGAGTCTGTGGCTGTGCCAGCAAGCCCACTCTGTAAGTGACAGCTGGCTCTGGTGGCTCCGTGAGCTGACAGTGATTTCACCTTTAAATGACGGGAAAATGCCTTGTTTGGATTTTTTTTTTTTCTTCTTCTTGATCTAGAAGCTCCTCCCAATTTTGACTCTTAGCTGGTCTTAGCCTTTGACATTTCTATCTGGCCCTTTCCTGTCTGACCTAGGGCAATTCCCCTCAGGACTCCTTGATCCCACCAGGGGACCATGAACTGTAGGCATATTTACCGACTGAAACCAAAACACTGAGAAGACATTTATCGATCCACTGAACATTAAAACTTTAAAATTTTTATATTTATTTATTCATTTATTTATTTTTAAAATTATTTTATTTTATGTGCATCAGCATGAAGGTATCAGATCCCTTGGAGCTGGAGTTACAGGCAGTTGTGAGCTGCCATTGAACCCAGGTCCTCTGGAAGAGCAGACAGTGCTCTTAACCACTGAACCATCTCTCCAGCCCCTATATTTATTTATTATACATCCTTTTTTTTTGAGACAGGGTCTCTCTATAGAGTTCTGGCTGCCTGAAACTTGCTCTGTAGATCAGGCTGCCTTTGAACTCACAGAGTTCCCTGCCTTTCCCTCCTGAGTGCTGTGATTAAGGTATGCACCACCATGCAGGCTTAAGTTTTATTTTTAAGAAAATGATTCCCAATGTAGCTCTGGCTTGCCCCAAACTCTCGACTCTTCTGCCTTAGTCTTCTGAGTGCTGGGATTTCAGGTGTGGGCCCTCATATTGGATTTCTTTCTTTCTTTCTTTCTTTCTTTCTTTCTTTCTTTCTTTCTTTCTTTCTTTCTTTCTTTCTTTCTTTCTTTCTTTTTCTAAGACAGGGTTTCTCTGTTTAGCTTTGGCTGTCCTGGACTTTATTGACCAGGCTGGCCTCAAACTCACAGCAATCTGCCTGCTTCTGTGTCCCTGAATGCTGGAATTAAAGGCATGTGCCACCAAGCCCAACTTGGACTTTATTTTAAAAAAAACGACAAGGCCATTCATATCAACAAAATATTTTTTTAAAAATAAGAAGTGGCAGTTTTCCCTAAAACCAATTTGCCTTGAAGAAAGGTACTGTGACACCTGTCTGTTGGTGTCTTGTGGGTGTCTGTATTTGGTCTTCTGCAACATCACACGTCACAGAGCTCTGGAAGGTTCTGCTGTGTTCTCAAAAAGGCAAAAGAGATAAGGATCTTCGTTAACATACATAAAAAAAAATCTAACCTTGACTCCTCAGGACCCCAGGGTGTTACACTGAGAACTCTCCGTGCTGTCAGAAAGGCTCTTGGTACAGCCCCCTTTCCCCTTTATTCTGCCTTCGGTGGCTTTACTTTTCATCACAGGAGACGACTTTAGTAACATCACACAGCTGCGTGTGGTACCTACCACATGCGTTGGTCCCAGAACTCAGGAGGCCATTAGCCTGAGCTACAGAGTGAGATGCTGTCAAAGCAAAAAATAACACCCCAAGTAAGCCACCACCCTCCTCTTATCTGCCTCATGGAGATCCTTTGAAAGATCATGGTCAGCAAGGTGTCAGTGTCAGCCTTGTCACCCTGGGTTCACCAAATAAACAGTGCTGGGCCTCAGCAACAACTGTTCGCCATGGCCAGCCTCCTGTGCTAGGCTTGCAGCAATCATGTGTGCATTGTCCATGTGATTAGCCCGAACATTAAGACTTTAAAATTTTTATATCTATTTATTATATGTTCTTTCTTTCTTTCTTTCTTTCTTTCTTTCTTTCTTTCTTTCTTTCTTTCTTTCTTTCTTTCTTTCGAGACAGGGTCTCTCTATAGAGTTCTGGCTGTCTGAAACTTGTTCTGTAGATCAGGCTGCAGCTCCATGCCAGGTCTGCTCTGGTAGAAAGCCTTGTGTTTCTGATGCTGCAGTTGTTCTTTCTGCTTGTGTGGATGCCCAGCAGAACCCCTGCCTCCCAGGGCACAGAGGTCAAAGGGTGGAGGGGAACTTGCAGTGCTGGGATTGAAGCTGGCGAGCATGCATGCCAGCCATGTGATTCCACAGAATCACATCAGGCCGGCTGACTCCTTTCGAGTAGACTGGGTCCCCCATTCCAGGCCCCTGTTCTCCCTGTGGCCGTCTGGGTGACTGATCACACACATAGAGTATCACAGGCTGGGTGCCAGTGCTGGGGTCAGGCTGTGAGGGAAAGAATGGTTCTGTGCAGGAGATACGGGTGGACAGGCCTGCAAGGCAGAGGAAGGAGACAGAGGAGGGAATCAGGCAGGAAGGAAGGAGCAGCTCTTGATTCAGCCATCCAAAGCCTTCCTAGAGGTCAGTCGTCAGTCAGACTGGGCATTCAGGTGCAGGCCGGGTGTCAGGCCCAAGCCTGGGGACCTGGGAGTTCCTCAGGTCTAAAAGGGGAAAGTACCTTGACTAGTGGAGACATGGATCCCTCAGGACATTAGCAAAGCCTAGGAAAGACCAAGGTCAGACATGCTTACTTACTGGTCCCAGCCAGTGGCCGATTTGGGGCTCTCAGGTAACCCTAGACAAGGGCACACTCCGCTTAGTTACTTTTCAAAACAGAAAAGTATTTAAATGGCCAGTGTAAGGCTTGGGCTTGCAGAAAGACTTAAAGAACAGAGATGTCTACCTATGAGAAGCCGGATGGCAGAGACAGGTCTCTTCCTTCCCCAGGCAAATGCCTGGGCAGCCTCTGTGCCAGGGAGCTCTGTACCCCAGTGGAGTCTGGCCGTCCAGGGCTGGGTGACGGGTTGTTGTGGCCTCAGACCCTTCCTGGCCCTGGGCACTCAGCGGAGGATAGGACAAAGATTTTGTTTATATATGGCAGAACTCAGAGTGGCTAAGCTACTGGCCAGAGTCACACAGCTGAGGCATGTTGGTGCCAGGATGGAACTGGCTGTCTACCCAGTCTCGGGTTCAGTCCTGGATTCCCCGAGCCTGCTGGCAGAGTGCCTGGCCTCCTTGCTTCGTGAAGCTCAGGGCCAGGCTTAATGGGTTCCTCCGGAAGGTACAGCTTTGCTAGCTCTGGCATGGCTTCTAAGCCCGTGGTTTAAATGAGCTTTCAGTAAATTAAATTTTATAAGTGCATTTAATTTATTATACTTAATAAGGAAACTAAGTGTATTAAATTAAGTTGAATTTACTAGGGGAGGATTTCCTGAGGTGTGGGGACTGGTGAGAAGCCAGAGGAGGTGTGAAGTGAAGGTGGCGGGGGGCTGAGCCTCCAATGGGGACAGCTGCAAGGTGACAAGCCACAGAGCTTTCTCTTCGACCTTTTCCCCTCTCCTCACAACTGCAAGGACAGTCGTTGCTTTTATTCAGTGCTTATGGCACCTCTGGATCCATGATGAGTGCCCTGGTGTGAACTGCTCAGTGTTGCTCTGGGGGGTCCATGTCTAGCCTTGTCTTGCCTAATCTGCTATGGCTCCCTATGGCCACAGGAGAGAGCAGGGCTGGTCCTGTGTGATCCAGGTCTGCCTCGTCCTCTTGCAACACCTGCTTTGTGGTCAGATTCTGCAAGGCTTCCTTCTGGCTTGTAACCTTGCCACCCATGTACCACCCCAGGCTGAGTCCAAGGTCTTCAACTCCTGTGCTATCTGTGTCTGGCATTCATCCTGGCACACAGGGCTCAGTGAGTTTGTTGAATGAATGAATGAATGAGTGAGTGCGTGAGTCAGGGGCTGGACAGGGAAGCTACAGGGGGAAGAAAGGTGGGTGCCCACGCCTGCCCCAGCCCCTCTCCTTCCCACCCTCCACCATGACCGGAGAAAGCTTTGTAGCCATTCCCAGTCTCTCTTCCTGGCTAAGGGCTCTATCCCTCTCCCCCTCTAGGCTGTTACCGTTACAGCTACGTGAAGCCAAACCAGGTCCTTCGGTTAAGGGGGCCCGACCAGCAGTCCACCAGCTGCCTGTGGCACCTGCAGGGCCCTAAGGACCTCATGCTTAAAGTGAGGCTCGAGTGGACCCAGGTTGACTGCAGAGACAGGGTGGCGATGTACGACGCGGCTGGGCCCCTGGAGAAGAGACTTATCACCTCGTGAGTTCCTGAAGGGCTAAGGGAGACCCGGGGTCAAAGGCTACACTCTGCGTATGATGCCATACTCTACCATGCGCTGTAGCCTCAGGCCCATAAGGCCACTTCAATAGAGGGCAGTGGAAGAGGAAGCAACAAAGCTCTGTGCCAACCAAGGGCCCCCATTCCCTTCTCAGAGCCTCAGTTTTCCCAGCTGGATGTAACTAACCAGTTCTTGTAGGTGATCCCTAAAGTCCGCTCTGGGAGGGGACACGGCTTGTTAGGACATGCTAGAATCTGGCAGCAGCCTGGTATTTCAACCACTGCTCTGTTGTATCCTAGCTGTATGCCTTAAGACAAGGGGTTTGCCCTTTTGAGCCCTGGGTTTTCTCATCTGTAAAATGGGTGTGTATTCTCGGTCACCGTTCGGTGACGTGGAGACTATCCAAGAAATGGGGCCATGGTTAACCCCCTCTTGTCCTGGGTAGTTGGGGGCCTCTAAGGCCCTGGCCATCTCTTCCAGGGTGAGCCATGGGGTACTGGACCCGCAGGGTTCTTCAGGAAGCGGGGTAGACAGTGCTGAGTTGTACTATTGTTTGCTGAGAACTTACTTCGTACCAGGGGACAAGGTGGTGCCATTTCTCCATCTCTTGGGTTCTGCCACATTGTGCTCTTCTCTGCTCCATCAGGGTCTACGGGTGCAGCCGCCAGGAACCCGTCATGGAGGTGCTGGCATCGGGCTCCGTCATGGCAGTGGTGTGGAAGAAGGGCATGCATAGCTACTATGACCCCTTCTTGCTCTCAGTGAAGTCTGTGGCCTTCCAAGGTGAGGGTCACCAAGGATGGGGAGAGACGTGGCCAGGAGCCCTGGTCTCTGGTGACATGCCCTACATCTTCTCTGCCCTATTGGTGGTGGTCTGGAAGCCTTCTCTGGGCAGCATCCCCCCCTCCTTTCCAGTCCTCCCCCCTCTCTCCTTCACACTCCTCCCAAGGCCAACCTGGTTTTTAGTAGGTCTGAGAATGCAAGGACTTGGTCCTGGCAGCCCCTGTCAAAGGCATCCTGGCAGGGGACCCCCAGGAGGTCTCCCTTGGCTCTTCCTGCCTCTCACATCCCATCCCGCTCCACCCTGCCCCCTGGCTGACCTCTGGGTTAGCAGAACTAAACTTGAGGACCCTGTTTAAGCTTAAGCTAGGGCTAGGGACCTCTTCAGGGCCCCTTGCTGTTTGCAGCTGCATTTCCTTGCTTGTGTCTGGTTGTTTCTTCTTACTCTCCTGAATCATCCCTGGGGCTCTCCCAGGGTGACTCATAATTCCCGTTGGCCCTTCAGGGTGTGACAGCTGGCGTTCTCTCGGGTTTTCAGGCACCACAGTCTATAGAAAACAAACAAACAAACAAACAAGGAAGGAAGGGATTGGGGCTCTGGAGACCAGAGGTGACCAGAGAACCCAAGGTCACTGAATTGCTGTTTCTGTGCCCTGAGCCCTCAGCTCTTCCTGAGTGACTCAGTGGAGGCGCCCCCCTGCCATGTAAAACTCATCAGTGTGTGTCTGTGTGTGCATCTGTGTGTGGTATGTATGTGTGTGTGAGGATTTTGGTTTCTTAAAAAACCCCAGTTATATTGGGAATATGTTTTTGTTTTAATCCCACGTGTTGGATTCAGATTGTCCACAGAAGCTGACTATGATTTGCCTCATGCTCTAGCATGGGTGTGATTTTGCCAGCTGAGGATAGTTTAAGTTTGGAATTCTGGGTATTCTTCAGAGACTACGTAAACGCTAGAGCTGGGAGAGAGGAGCCCCTGCTGCTCCTGTTGCTGGTTGCCGTTTGTTGCTGATTGCTGGTTTGCTGGATTGCTGAATTGCTGGTTGGCTTTGTCCTGACTATGAAGATCAAACCCACTCCAAGGAACTCCACACCCCCAATCAGCAGGAAGTAGTCTAATGATATCGACACTCCTTTTCCTCTAACCTTCTTTCTTTCCTACCTAGTGTTTGGGGTTGGAAGGGATAAGGATGGTGTAGAGAGGTAGGGAGAAGAACTCAACAAAGCAGCCAAAAGTTTGGTGACAGTGCTGTGTGTGGGTGTGGTGTATATGTGTGTGTGGGTCTGTGTGGGTGTGGGTTGCTAGGATGTACTCCAGAGCTTTCACATGTGTTAAGCAAATACTCTAGCATGAAGTCATGCCCTGAGCCCTTCCAAGCCCCCTCTTTGCAAAGGGAGGAGACTTCCCGTCACAGCTGTACAATGAGGTTTGCTGTGAGCGTAGTTTGCCTTCTGTTAAGGGCAGTGTCCAGGTCACGCAGCAAAGGTCTACCTGGCCTACAGGCGGAATGCTCTGTGTCCATCGCATCGGCTCACCACTGGGTGAGCTGTGCTCTCTTCTCCCCATTTTGTGGATGGGGAAACCGAGAGGCACATTTACGTAGCCATGTCTGACCCCACGCTTTGCTGCTAGAGGTCGCAGGGTGCAGGGAGGCACTGTGGGGAGGGCCAAGGGACCCAGCCTGATGGCTGTCCTTCGATACAGACTGCCAGGTGAACCTGACGCTGGAGGGCCGGCTGGACCTGCAGGGCTTCCTCCACACACCCTACTACCCCAGTTACTACTCGCCCACTACCCACTGCTCCTGGCATCTCACCGTGAGTTCCACCCACCTGCAGCCTGGCACCTGGGATGGGGGGGAGGACATCCTGCCTTGCCCGAGTGGGAGGGTGTGGGCTGTAGCTTGCTTATCTGAGGAGGTACCCCAGCTCGACCTTGACACGTGATCACCCGCCCTCCCTCTCCAGGTCCCCTCTCTGGACTACGGCTTGGCACTCTGGTTTGATGCCTACGCACTGAGGAGGCAGAAGTACAACCTACTGTGTACTCAGGGCCAGTGGATGATCCAGAACAGGAGGTAGCTCCTCCCCCACCCCAACCCCTCACAGGGATCTCAAGCCCACCCCCTTCCCCAGCCTAGGAGGTGGCAGAGGCTGAAGCCAGCAAAGCCTGTTTTGACTATCCCCGCTGGCCTGACCACCCTGACTCCAACCCTCCCCTCCCCCGATTTTCCAGATGCCCTGCAGGCCTCAGGTGCGCATCTCAGCATCTCAGCATCCTGTCCATCCCGGTTAGGGTACAGGTTGGAGCTGCCACATATCCGGCCCCCTAGCATAGACCCACCAATTGTGGGGACAGGGCACAGGGCACCTGAAAGCACACAGAGGCACTGCTCACTTTTCTCCCGCTCCCCTACAGCCAGAGGACAATGGTACTTTTTGGCTTCCCGGGGAGGGGGGGGGACAGCAGTCCTCAGAGTTGTCCTGTGTTCCCTGTGGCATCCACCCTGTTTCCTGCTCCTATCCTTGGCCTCCTTGCAGGAAAGTTTCAAGCTAAGCCCTGTCAGGAGCTTGCAGGAGACAGAGGGAGCTGTGAAGTGAGGCGTGGGGGTGGGGGTGGGATGGGGCAGCCAGAAGCTGGCCAAGAAGGTAAGGATGGACAGTCCCCCAGAGCCAGCAACTGAGGACACTGCTTGGGCCCCATTTCCGCACTGGTTGATCTTATTCTAAACAGGGGGTGGCAGGGAGTGACGGTACTTACTTTTTACCAATGTATCAGGGATGGTGACAGAAAGGGGCGGGGGTGTAAAATGACCTTGGTGTGATGGACCCATGCTGTTGGGATGGCAGGCCCACTGTGTAACATAAGCCTGTGATATCTAGGTGACAGAAGGTGTCCTCCTGGGGAAGGGTGCTGTCATAGGTGCCCCTCTCCTTCAGAAAGCTCCCTCTGCCACCGACCCACACCCAGGGTCTCTGCTTCCACATCAGAGCCCAGGTAACCCTGGCCCTGGCCTGTGACTGGAGTTCCGTGAATGAAGGTGCTGTGCTTTCAGCTATGACTCCCTCCCTGAGTGACGTCGCTATCTCTGAGAGACCAGAGGGAGAGGGAACAGCCTTGGGCCTGGCACCCTCTTGCATAACCCTGGTTATGCCATTAGTTTGGGCTGGTCCTGTACCAAGTGCTGTGGGACCCTGAGCTCAGAGCTCAACATAAACACCAGCCTCCTCCCAACAGTCACCAGCTACAGGCAGGAAGCCTGAGGCTCAAAACCTGCCTCCCCTGCTTCCTTCTTGGGCAAGACTTACCTCTCCCAGCCTCAGGAACTCATCTCAGTATATGAGGCTTGGGTGGGCTCTGAGGACAAAAGGCTAGCCTAACACACAGCATAGCGATTCCTGGGCTCCACCACAGTAACCTCCAGTAACAGTCCTAAAAAACAAAGGGCATGGGCCTGCAAAATGGCTCAGTGGATAAAGGAGCTCGTCGCCAAGCCTGAGGACCTGGGTTCAGTCCCTGGAACAAACATGGTGGAAGGAGAGAACCGACTCCCAAAAGTAATTCTTTGGTCTCTATAGACATACTGTGGCCAACAGAAGTGTCTTTCTACCACAGAAACAAACAAACAAACAAACAAACAAACAAAACAAACAACATGAAACAGACCCCTCCTGCTGGACACTGAATATGATGGTGGGCAGAGGGCACCCCAACCACAATTGCTAACTGGCTCTAATTCTGTGCCAGGCAGACATGGAAAGGGATTATGTGCAAGGAAGTCATATTCAGATCATGTCCCCAATTGTTTCTGTGGCTATAGCTAAGTCCCCAGGGCAGGGTAGTTTCAAAAGAATCGAGGTTTGCGTAGCTCATGGTTCTGAAGTCCAAAAGCATGGTGTCAGAGCCTGGCTTTCTGCTGAGTCGTAACATGGCAGAGGGGGCCATGGGATGATGCTGGGCCAAACCGGCTTGCATGACAGGGCTGGTCTTGAGACTTGAGTGCTTCCTTTCCTTCTTCTACTAAGTCTTGAGCAGGTTAATGCATTCGCCAAGTACAGCCCCTGACTCAATCTGTTCTTTCTCCAAATGCTGTTAATACGAGACTTTGGAGCTCTGGTTTCCAAGCGTGAATCTCAGGGACTTGCTGGAAGCCTCGTGGCAGTGGGGAAGCCTCGTGGCAGTGGGGAAGCCTCGGGCACAGAGGCTGAGTCATTTGCTAAAAGTCCCTGTGGCTTGTGACATCATTGCTGAGCTCAGGCAGCTGGGCCCCCAGGACATGCCTGCCCAGCTGTGTCTATCCGTGTGTGCAAGGATATGTTTCCCCACAAAGGCTCCAAGCAGGCTGTGCAGGCTGTCATTTCTCAGCCAGCGCACCTGCCTGCTGCTGGGAGGATCCGCCATCTCCGAGGCTCTCACTTGTTCCTCTGAAAGCAGCTGGTTAAGTCTCACCTCCTCGCAGCCCTTTATTTGGGATGCAGGGTCCCTCAGGGGAGAACCATCTCCTTGCCCCCATGCAAGGCCTGGTGAAAGGCAAGGCATGGTGGGAGCTACGCACCGGTTCCTGTGGGCTGCTAAAGATACGTCATTGCTGGGAAATTCTCTGAAGAGTGTGTCTTGGAAAATCTGCCCTGTGGGTAGCCAGGGCCCGAGAGATGGAGGAGGGGAGAGGGAGACCAAGTCCTTTGGTCTAGCCATTGAGGGACTGAACCCCTTTTCCCAGATGCCAGTCTAGTGATAAGAGGCCCCTCTACTGGCCGGGCACCCTTGGCCCCCATGCCATCCACCTTGTTCTTCTTGCTGTCTTTATGGCCTGGCAGGGTCCTCTTGCCCTCCAGTGGCCTGCAGGTGGTGGTGGCTCTTGTCCTTGTTAGATCAGGCTGCTGGCTGCTGAGGTTCACGGAACCTCCTCGCTGGGCGCTGCTGCAGCAGCTGTTGGCTTCCCCCTTTCCAGGAACCTGCCCTCATTTCCTCTCCTGTGATGTCACTCCCCTGTGACCTGCCTGACCCTTTCTGCCCGCTTCCAGCCCTGAGATAAGGCAGAACTACAGGCTCCAGAGGCCCATGGCAAGCCCCCTGTGGCTTGGCCTGGCTCTAGGTGGTCCTTCTGCTTTCCCCAGTGCCCTGTGGCCAGTGCCACGTGCAGCCACCTTGTGCCAGGTGCCACTTCCCCCAAAACCATTTCTCCGGGTCCTCTCTGAAATGTCTGCAAGGAGGTGGGGTCAGGGATGGCTCGAAGCCTACTATAGAGCCACCACCACACGTAACCAAGGCCTGGAGTTCTGCTGAGGCCTTGAGGCCTGCCCCCAAAGTCACATAGCTTTGTCAGGTGGTAATGTTAAGTTAAGCTCAGCTCTGCAGCACTAGTCAAATGCTCTGGCCACCACAGAGCAGGCTACTGTCGCTTCCTCAGTGCTGTCTTTCTGCCCTCCTCCCTTAAGCTTGTCCTTAGAAAGGGGCATGGTTGATGTGAGTCCTGGCCCCTTCCCCACTCCTGCCTGTGCTTCTGCCCATCCACCCAGCATCTCTCCAACTCCTCCCTGGGAAGCGCTGATATGCCAGGTGGACGGGTTCTCACTGAGCATCTGGATGAGGCTTGAGGGAAAGAATCTCCCCTCCCCCAAACTCACGGGCGCAAAGTAGGCCACGAGGTGCCCAGCACCTTCTGACTCCAGCACTTAGCCGCTTAAGTGAGAGGGTCTGGCAGACAGGAGGAAGGGCGGACCAGACACTCAGGGGGCCACACATGCCTAAATCTTAATTTGCTCCAGGATGCTCCTGGCTCCCCTGTCTGCTTCCTGGAGCCCCTTCCTAGGATATCAGTCCATGATAACTATAAGTTATCATAACTATATCACGAAATGTATCTATACCCCCTTCAAGAAACAATGGGGTTCTCCTTAGCTTGATAGGGGCTGGACTTGCTTCAAGGCGCCCCCTGGTGGTGCTCTTCTCTGTCAAGGGCAGCTGGGCTCTGTCTCCCCCCTCTTTTTACTCTCCTTCCCAGGGACCAGCACCCTCGCTCACCTAGGTGAAATGCCTGTGTCAGCAGTTAAACCTGACAATTTCAGAAACGCTTGCTTCTCCAGTTCCTCTTGGTTACTCATGGTAATCTGTGACTGGAAAATACTGAAGCGGAAAATGCCAGAAGTGAATCTGTTTCGTTAGCTACTGCTCTCTTTAGAGCCAGCAACGTATGTGTGGAGGCAGAGCGTAGTACAGGCAGTGTTTGGCACCGCCTGAAATTTCTGGTGTCCACGGGGGGTCTGGGAATGTCTCCCACACATAAGGGGAAACTTACGTTTTTTAAAGTGCATGCTTTAATGTAAATAACATTTTTTAAAAAATCATATTTCCCATATGCCCTGCCCACTTCCTGAGGCCGTCCTCTGAGGCTAACAAGCCAGGGTTCTATCTTTCTATCCACAAGAACCTGTTTCCTTAGCTTGAAAATAAAAAGGGGGGCCGGGGTGGGGACAAAGGGCCAGGCTTGCTCTCCGAAATCCTGGTGGCCAACCTTTCTATGACAGTTGGCTAGGCTGTGGGGCTTCTGGGCCTCTCAAAACAGCTCCTTTCCAGGACCCCTTACTTTGCCTTGAAGCGGTGGGGCACCCCAACATCTCCGGACACAAATATCGACCCTTCAAACTGTTTGCACGTTCTTTGCCCTCACACACCAGCCACCTACCTGGAAAATTTGGCTGTTTTATTGTGAGAGAGGGAGGGAGGATGGGAGGATCAAAGGGCATCGCTAGAAAGGTGACTTTTAGGTTCCCAGGGGTCTCCCTCTGGACTTTGAGAACTACCAGTGGCATAGGTCACAGATGCGCTTGAAGCCAGAGTCTGGCCAGAAATGTGATGGTGAGCATTGGTGAGCATCAGGGGTTTGGGGTGGGGCTCGGGTTCCAGAGCCCCACCTCCTGCAGTGAACTGGGTTGGAGGGGCCTGAATTCTGGTTCCAACCTTGCAGAGCTTCTCAAACCTCTCCGTCTGTGGGCTGAGCGCACCTGCCTGGTTGGTCGCCAGCCAACTATCTGTAGATAAGAAGGCCAACCCTCCCCCCGTCCCGTTTTGGTGTGGGGTGGGGCCAGCAGTCTACAGACCGCAGCCTGCTGGCCGGCCAAGGTCCTCTGCCCCTGCAGACACATGGAAGCGTTTTGTAGATGCATGGTTTGATCGTTTTCCCTATGGAACAAGGGGGGTAAGTGAGCCTCAGAGGAGGCTCTGGCCTTGCCAGATTCTCAGAGCTGATGGGTGATGAGGACCAGAATCTGGACTGACTGACCCTTGTCCCCAGGCAGTGGGGCGCCGCCGCAAGCTTTTGAGCCGGGGAGTGACACAAACAAGTTCCTTTCCAGAAGATGACTTGGGGGCTGAGCAGCCACCCAAAGGGAAAAAAAATCGAGATAGAGGGAACGTGGGTGGGAGCCATTGCTTCTGGCTGCCTGGTCCTTACTCTGTCCGTGCAGAGGGACCGAGGCTGTTTCTTCTCTCGGCCGGGAAACCAGCCCATGCACCTGAGCCATCCCTGGTCACTCCTAGGCTGTGTGGCTTCCGCACCCTGCAGCCCTATGCTGAGAGGATCCCTGTGGTGGCCTCAGCTGGCGTTACCATCACCTTCACCTCCCAGATCTCCCTCACAGGCCCCGGTGTGCAAGTATACTACAGTTTGTACAACCAGTCAGACCGTGAGTACAACGGGTGTGTATGCCTGTGTGTGTGTGTGTGTGTGTGTGTGTGTGTGTGTGTGTGCGTGCGCGCGCGTGCACGCATGTGCATACACTGGCATAGCTCTATGTGCTGGGCAGGTGGTCACATGTGTCCCTTTGTGTGTGTTGTCCCTGTGTGGTTCCGCACGGGCCACGGGCACAGGAGCAGGTGCCCGGGCACCTGATCATGTGCACAGAAGATACAGATACATGCATTTCATGCCATGTGTCCTAACGGTGCCCTTCTGCTTCCACGGCCTCCTGGGGGTCCCCAGCCTGCCCCGGAGAGTTCCTCTGCTCCGTGAATGGCTTGTGCGTCCCTGTCTGTGACGGGATCAAGGACTGCCCCAACGGCCTGGATGAGAGAAACTGTGGTGAGCAGCCTGCCATCTTCTCTCCTCGCTCCCTGTACTGATTTACCCCCACGTGTGGTCCCCCTTTGAGGACCCCCAAAACCCAGGGCTGTTGTTCTGTGCCAGGAAGGCAAGATGGAAGCATCATGGAATAGTGGCCTCCCCAGAGCTAACCCCCCACCATCGCCCAAGGCAGTGTCTGGGACAAGCTGTGACCCTCAGCTTAGCTTTCTCCCTTCATCATAGGCAAATATGCCAGTTATCTGTCCTGGCCAGTCTTCTGAGAAATAACCAAAAGGAGGTGAGCAGGACCAGGCAGGGATGTCTGCTGGGATGAGACTCTCAGAGACTGGGGATGCAGGGTAGGGTCTTGTATTTCTCTCCTCAAATGGGGTGGGTTCTCATCCCTCTAGCCTGAGGCAGGCAGACCCCAGATGAGGGCTCTCAGGAACAATTCTGAGCAAATGCCAGCTCTGTCCCCTAGAACCACCATCCAGGCACCAGCTGATGTAGGCGTCTGGGTAGTGATGCTTCGCACTTGCCTTGTCAATTCTTCATCTGAGTGGAGAGAGCCAGGTGGAGATGTTTCATATTTAACCCTGGACGTCTGGGGACCTCACTCAGACACACCATTCATGACCGGTCCCACCAATGAGATGGGGCTTTCCAGGACTGCTGTGAGACGGGTGTGCAGAGCGGAGAAGGGTTTGTGATGGTGGACACGTGATACAGGAAGCATCCGCTGTCACCGTGAAGCCCCAGCCCGGTCCTGCGACCCCTCCAACCATCGTGCTCTGTACCCACAGTCTGCAGAGCCACATTCCAGTGCCAAGAGGACAGCACATGCATTTCACTGCCCAAAGTCTGTGACCGGCAGCCTGACTGTCTCAACGGCAGCGACGAAGAGCAGTGCCAAGAAGGTAGGGGGACCCTACCCAGGGTCTCTAAGGTCAGACAGGGTCACGGCAACACCTACTGCCACAAAGGTCTCTCTGTCATCTTGTCCAAACACCGTCAACCCACTGTGCTTACGTCAGCACGTTCAGCTGTCTGCTCAGAGGTCTGTCCGTCCATCCATCCATTCACTCAACCAACCGCTGATTCCTTCACTCGGCTGTCCAACATCCAGCCAGCCATCCACTCACCCATCTACCCACCCATTTATCTGTCTAATATCTATCCATCTATCCATCTATCCATCCATCCATCCATCCATCCATCCATCCATCCATCCATCCATCCA